CAAGCGGATACTGAAATCATTATAAAAAGCTTCAATGTATAAAGACCACACAAAAAAATTATTTATGAAAATTACAATTTATAGACAATCCATATTCAGAAATATGACAATGATATAGTACCCAGATTTGAATAGCTATGTAAAATTTCTTGCAAACAAATTTAAGCCGACTAAATATTAAGACAGTGGTCAGCAGAAATTTGTATTTTAAATTATTTTTATTATTATTTTAATGTATAGTTGAATTTTCGAAAGATTTTGGTGAAGGTTGGACTAATATATAATTAAGTTATTAAATTCAATAGCTCCGGAATCGGGAATTTTAAAAATAATCAAACTTCTATAGTCGTATCGAAATGAGTGGAGGGGTTTAAACCTGAAATCCCCTTCTTTACCCATGTACATATTTGTACCTATACAATACAAATTGCAATTTCATTTATATTATTTATTTAAACATAACCCATGTAATATGCTAATATCAAATTATATTAAATCCAGTAGGTAACCTATCATATTTTGTATTATACTTATTTAAATTTTACAAAAGTGTGTGCCTAGTATAGTAATAAGGGATTCTAACAATAGTTATTCTCTGACACTATTCACACTTCTAATCTAATAAAATTCTACCTCCCCCTCCCCCGATATGCTTTAAAGTCCTCCAAAACTATCGTCACTCATATATTCAATATATTTTAAGTAGATACTATAATCTATCGTGTTTAATCGCGTAGGCGTATATTAAGTAATATAGCGGCCATATTATTATAACTACACGGGAAGTTATTGCAATTAACTATATAGGAAGTTAATCGTAATAATATTATGTACATCTCGGACACATCATTGTGTCTCTTGCCGTATACAAATTAAAAACAGGCGTAAATCGAAAATAACGATGTTTTAAGAACGTCTGACATATAGGTATAGGTCCAGATTTATAACCGATCATTAAAGATCAGTAGGCAAACAGACATTAGCATAAAATTTCACGCGATCCGGTGCGCATGTTAATAGCTACGATAACATAATGATAGGGTCGAATGTCGAGACACCGTTGCCGAATGACAACTGTTGCACGGCGGTGAATATTATTCGTACGGGCCCGACCACGGTAACCGACTTGATAACAGTTATTATAATATGGAATTTCATAAAACGCATACACAAACGCGTACTCTAATATGTAGGTACCTATATACCTATAAGATACCTATCTACTATATTAATGCAGTATAACATAATTGCGTGGTGTGTATAATGGTTAAACTTACAGTGTATGCAGTGTATACGGAGCGATTCTGGGTATACGAAGATTTCGAATAGATTTAATTCGGAATTTTTGCAGACACTATCGGATCGATACTGCAATGTCGTTTACAAATATTTTCATAGTTGCACATTTATTCCGTATACACCAGAACTGCACGTAGGTACTTTTCAACATGGTAACCCACGTTTTTAGACTCGAAAAAGAGTTTAAATACCGAGTCGGACAGTATCTCGGATACAGGTAACAGGTATTGTTAATTGTATCTTATTGTACAGTTTTGGAAAATATCAAAAGTATCTTGTATTTCGATACTGAAATAAATGCGTCTAGTATCGAATATCTAGTTAATCATTTTGAAGTATCTTGCCCATATAGGTGCTCGAAAGAGGAGCAAGGTAGATCATTTGTCCACTATCTTTTCGAGAATACATTAAAAGTTGAAAGTGTTTGAACGATAATGGGGAGAATTGTTAGGAATTTCGAAAAATGTATGGAATATACATTTTAAGTAGGTACCTAATATCTCGAATCTGTAATATAGAGAAACCCATTCCTGTATACTTGCACCAGTTTCTAATTTATATAATATAGGTAATTTATAATTATCCATGTTCATTGGCGCGCGCAGAGGAAGTTTAGTAGTAATACCCCAAAAATCGCTTAAAAATACAATAACCATGATTATTAATTTAGTACTTTTATCTGGTAATTATAAATTTCATCCACACTACGCGGGGAAAAGAGTTCGATTTATTGAACAAGAATTGGACCTTTTTGAGTCCGGTTTTTAAATTCGGGTTCAGGTATAAGCGAAGAAGATTTATTCGTCAATCGTGATTATTAAGCACTGGATTCCCGAAAATGCTCTTGGCACGTCGTCACTGCCCGTGTTTGGATACAGATAACTCGCGAACGAAATTGTATACCATTATGACCCGCGAAGTGTTCTCTTTTCGAATAGGAGGAGAAAAAAAATACAGGTTGCTATTTGAAAATCAATACAGTCGATATTATGCGACGTGTGTTTGTATATAATATTATGGTAGTACCCGAGTATAGGATGGAATGTCTGACGGTTTTGCAAACGATATTCGATACGTGTGTGTGTGTGTGTGCAACTGTCGATTATATAAAACTGTGTCCGCCGAAAGCGCCATAGAATCGAATAGTCGCCGGAATCGCTTATCGATATTGTAATAGTCGGCGATCCGCGATAAAAAATAAACACGATCGCCCCGTGCAAGAAATAACGTCGGCCGCGCGTAACGTAATATTGTAACGACATGAGCGGGCTGTACAACAGGCCCGGTACCTGTATGATAATATCCACCTGTAGTATCCTGTATAATGACAACGGCGTATACGACGAGATGTGACGCCCGTGTCGATAGGTGAAATCAGAGGGCAAACGTGTCCGGGCCGCGTGGTACGTTGGTGTAGACGCATTAGAAATCACGAACGTGACAGGAAAAAAAAAAAATTAAAAAAAAAAATAAATATCAAATCCTTAATTACGTCACCCGAGAGATATTTTACGGGCGCCCGTGGCCGTCGTCGTCGTCCCGGCGAAGAGCCGACTCCTCCTCCGCGCAATATTACAATCCGGGCGCGCGCGCGCGGGCATGTTGATCACCGTCCGTTATAATTGAAAAGGTATCACGCGGGTGACCCCCCCCCCCCCCCACCCCCCCACCCCCCGATGCACCGCGAGCGCTGTTGTATCGTCCCGAGAGGTCCGTAAACGCCGAGACCTATTGCGGACAGGGATGGGCGACTCGATGTCACCGGAGAGAGGCGATTTATTGGAACGTAAAACACTAGCGGGCCAGAGCACGGAAAGCCGAAAATCATTCGAATTTCAAATTTACATTTGGCATTTTATTTCATATAATTTTTGAAAAAATGTTTAACGTGAGATTCGAGGGCGTGCAGCTGCGTACAGATAACAATTCAGCGAAATCAACTTCTGACTCCTGACGCGGAAACACGTATATAATAAGTGATTTTAACGTTTCATCTGTATGGCGATTTATTGCCTTCGGTTTGATACGTAAAAACGAGCATTTTACATAATATGCGAATCGTTCCAAACCAAGATGGCATTTTCAATGCAAAATCTCGTGCTAATGAATACTTTTCAACTAGCGATATTTTCCAAAATGGCACATCAACCTCTTTTGTGGATAAAAATGGATCTGTTTGCGACTCGCGTAACTCAAACTGGTATGAAGCATCCAGTTTTTCAACTTTAACTGCTATAAAGAGGCGTGTTTAACGGGGAGCGTAGGGGGCAGCATTTTATAATTATTTATAGGCGGCATACGTTTTGTAACTACTGTCGGTTTTTTCGTCATAAATTAATTTTGCCTTCAGGAATTTTATATTTTATAAATGTGAAAATATTTAAGAATATTATATGAAATATATTTCGAATAATATCAAAACGTATACGCAACAAGAATCTAAATGAGACTCGAATGAATGTGAATGTAATGCAGTTGAGACTATATGGATAATTTTGTACACTGGTATTATTGTCAATTAGTAACGATAAGGCTCAACGTCTCTCAATATTTCCCATTCGTGGCGAATAACTTATCTATTTTTAAATATTATTTTAACATGACAGAATTAAATCGTTTCCACGTATTGTCATCAACCTCGGTATTCTTATTATACAGATACACCTACAGTCGCTACTCACTGTGTATATTATGATAATTCAAAGTTATTAGTTACCAGTAGTCAGCTTGTCGTCGAACTACAATGTATTATACAACCAATTGTTATTTGTTATTTTTTTTTTTTTTTTATTTTAAATTTTAAATGTCTTCAAAAAGAATGAAATTAGATGGCGCTGAATACGAAAAATAATTAAAATTGGAACGGTTGATACGAAAAATGCCAAAAATAAAAAAATTTTTTGCGCCATCAATTGTGAGTACTTTAAAAATAGTTTATTATTATTTAGTTATACAATTTAGTTATAAGATATATGTATAAGATATATTAGCTATTATTTATTTTATTGTTTTTTTATATAGTACTGTTATTATTTGAGTTGATTTTTACATACAATATGTTTTGAGCATTTAATTTCCGAGTATATACTTATTTCTTTATTTAATAAGTCAACCAGTTTGTTTTAGTTAATTGTTAATGATCAATGAAATCGTGATTCTAAAAAGCCTGATAAAAATGAACAAGAAAAAAATGGTGAAGTATGTATTTATTACTTAACATATATATTTCTGTATTAATACTCATGTATCTATGTAATTTAGTAGGTTAGGACGGCCATCTTGAATCAATATCTGATCCAGCTTTATGCAAAATCAATAAGTCAAGCATTGATTATTTCATACTAAATCAGCCTAAACAAAATGTTGAAACTATCAACATTAATGCAACAAGAAGGTCAATCGGTAAATATACTAGACTTCTCCTAAGAGATATTTAAAAAAAAAAAAAATGCAAAATGGAAGAAATACATTTAGAGATTGGATTTTGTACTATAGTTCAAAAAATTCATTATTTTGTTTTCATTGTTTATTGTTTGATGGATGTAAAACATTATTTGAGGATCAAAGCAGAGGTTTAACAATTGAAAAAAATTGTTTTCAAAATGTTGGCCATCATGAAAAATCAGCAATCACTACAAACTTAGTACCTTAGAAACTCTAAGAGTAATCTAAGTAGGATAAATGATATTATAAAAAATAAAATGTCTGATAGTTTGTCATACTGGAAGAATGTATTACACAGAATAGTAGAAACATTAAAGTTTCTAACTTCCAGAGGTTTGGCAATAAGAGGCTCAAAAGAAACACTTGGATCTGTGAATAATGGTAATTATCTCGGATGCTTAGAACTAATAGCTAAATTTGATACGTTTATAAGTCAGCATTTAATAAAATATGAAAACAAAGGTCATGGTAATGTCTCTTATATATCATCAAAAATTTGTACAGAATTTATTTTGATTATGGAAGAAACTGTTATTAAAGAAATAGTTAAACAAATTCAATCAAGGAAATATTTCTCCATTATTGTTGACTCAACTCCAGACATAACCAAAATTGATCAACTAACCATAGCAATAAGGTATGTTTTGTTTATGTTTGACAGATTTCCCGATGAAAGATTTATGGTTTTCTTCAATCAGTTGGCCATATGGAAAGAATATGGAAAAAGCAATAATTAATACATTTTCAGAACTAAATATAAATATTGAAAACTTTTGTGGCCAAGTATATAATAATGGCTCTAATACAAGTGACAAATATAATGGACTTCAATCTATAATTAAGCATTAAGCTCCTACTGTTGAATTTATTTCTTACTCAGTGCATTCCTTGAATCTAGTGGGATCTAACACAGCTGAATCTACTTAGTTCAATAAACAATTTGTTTGTACTTCTCAAATGATTTAAAACTTTTTGAGAAAGTTAATATTAAAAAAATGTTAACTACACATTGGTCTTCTAGGTATGATTACGTAAAGCTCTTTCTCTTGAATATAATCAAATAAAAAATGCATTGGAAGACATTGTTAATGACCAAATTCAAAAACAAGAAACTCGTCTTAAAGCTACTTCAATATTAAATAAGATTGACACATTAGAATTTGCATTTATAATATGTTTGTGGAAACCAATTTTGAAACGTTTTAACGCAACTAGTGTGACTTTGCAATCAACAACTATTGATTTATCGATTGTAACTAAACTATATGAATCGTTAGTCATATATTAAGGATATAAGAAACAATTTTGATAATAATTTACAAGCAGCCCAAAAACTAAGTGGAAAGAAATATTTCAAATCAACTACTTTAAGAAGAAAAAAAAGAGTAGTGTTTTTTGATGAAACATTAACTGATGAAGTATTATTTAAAGGAGCAGAGAAAATGAAAAATGATGTGTTTTTGGTAATTTTACAATTGACTAAATGTCCAATGCATTTAGATATTGTAAAGGTCATAAGGTATGAAAAGGACGTAATTGTCATTGTGTTCTGTCACTTCATAATTTATGAATTATTAACATTTTAGTGAAAATAATTTGATTTTTTGGCTCTTCTGTAAAATTAAAATGTTTGCAGTTGTGTCATTGTTCTACCGGTGCAGCGATATATATAATTTTGAAAAATTTGGTAACTTATAATAGTACTATATACCTACTTGAGTTTTTACAAACTTAAATAAATTAAATATCTTAATTTGTACATAATTAACTGGACATTTTTTAAATTTTTTACTTTTATTATTGCTTTACATTTTTAATATGACAAATTTATATTTAAACTAATAATAACAATTTTATCAATAACACATATCTCCTCGTCAACTAAATTGACAGTCGAACAACTATTTTCTGGTAGCTATATGGACGGACTCGTCATGGATATAAAGTTATAGAGCCTAAACTTGTGTTTACAAAATAGAGCTTGGTACTTTGAAAATCCGTGTATATATATTCACGTATTTCCCGTTATTATTCTCTGTGCATTTACGTGAACAATACTAAAACACGTGAACACGGATAGTAAATTCTCGTGTATTAGATAGGTATACGTATTTGTTTTTCACGTATAGGTACTCAAACTCCATTTTCACGTACTCATACTAATTCATGTTTTCTATCAAGGCCTGTATTAAAAAAACTTAATAAAACATCGGTTATATTTTTTGTCGATTTCTGTACGGTTAACTTGACTGTACACAACGGGAAAAAGAACTGCGACTACCCCGCACACAATCGTTTTTTTGATTACAATGGTTCGCAAAGGTGTCCTGAGGAAATATTACCTAGTTCAAAAAAAAAAGCGCCAATTTTTTTTTTTTAAATTATTTAATAATAGGTAAGTATATAAGTTTGTCCCAATTACCCCTGTGAAGTAGGTACCTATGGAGTCGGTAATATATTAAAATTGATTATATTGGTAGTATTCAAAACGATTTTTAATTTTTATTATTGAGAATTACGAGATTTTAAATCTATTTTCAAATTTGTATCCCTAGGTATTCTCTTTGTACCTTACACGAGTATTAACTTTTCGTCTCAAATGGTAACGACCTTTTCAACGCAAAATTAAAAGTTAAAAATATTATCTTACACATTTCGATACCTATGCATAACATTAATATTTATGATTATGATAGTTTAAAATTTTAACCACGGCAATAGGGAAAAGAAATAAATGTATCCATTTTTAATCGATTAGGTATCTTTCAACTAGAAAGAATATGGAAATTATAAATAGTTATTATGTATTTGGTCAACAAACTTACCTACAGGTGTTTCCTGATTTTTGTCGTAAACACGAAGAAAGCACGGGCACATTATTTACCGAGTAAATTAAATAACATTTGTTTCAACAAGTCCGACTTGGGAAATAAAAAAATGTCATCCGTCACTAAGTCACTACTACTCAAAGACGCAAAGAGCGCAAAATGTCAAAGACATTAGATATCTTAGTGACCGAGTGACATCCAAGGAGTTTGCTACTTACCAGCGGCGTAAATAGAATTTTACTGTGGAGGGGAATATGAAATAATATTTTTCAGAGCCTAATTTTTCCATCATAGACTTTCGAAGTTTTAAGTATTAAGGGATCGATTGACATCCCAAAACCTAATAATAGTCCCCCAAAAACAATTGAATAGGTACTCTGAATGTTTTTATCAAACCTAAAAATAATCTTTCGTCATAAAATCAAATTGGGTCTTGCTTTTACAAGCTTTTGGTCGGTGTACGTTACATATTTAACTGATAAAAATATATAAGTAGATTAGTGTATTAAATAACAGATTATAAAATGTGTGATCTATTGCGTGTGTGTTTATACATAAAAAAAAAGAAAGGGAAGAGATCTATCCCACATATCTCTCTTCCCCCGATCCACTAATACGCCACTGGTACCTACAAGCAGGCGGAAAAATTAAGATTTTTTATCATTTTCGGATCAAATCATTGAAGATCACCTACCCATCTACAAGATGCGTAAATATGTTCTGGCATCTAGTGATACCTTAATATACTGAATGTTACAGTTCAAATTTCGTACTTGTGATAAGCATCACTAGATGCCACCACACATACCACATTCATATTACAACTCGCTCGTTATATCCATTATTATTTAGGTACATTCAAATAACATTCCAAATTATACATTTAAAAAAGTCGCCCTAGAATGATGGGGACGGGTGCAGCCACTGTTATAGGTAATTTAATGTATACTTGTAAGCAACTATAAACCATTGTTTACCAAAAAAGTGTTCAAAGCGGAGTTCAGTTGATAGTGGTGCTTTGTCAACAATATATATTGTCATATTATAATAAAATAATTAGACTCTATATTTTTTCTTAAATTATATTTCGTTTAATGTTCTACCAATTTTCCTACGTTTTTCCCATGCTTTTCACATTTGCTAACAAAACTCCGAAGAAAATCAAAAAACGACCTCTCTAAAGTACCTCTCCAGTGAAATTTTCTGTCAGAAAATTGCTATCATTAAGAGTTTGAGCAAAATGAATGGTAGAAAAATTGTCCACAGAAAAAAAAAATCGTAATATAATACAAATATATTTTGAACATTTTCCAATTTTTTTTTCGGTTTTTCGTATTTGATGAGAAAACTTGAGAAAATCTATAAATGACCACCTTAAAGGTACCTTCCCACACCTTTTTCCTTTCAGAAGTGCTTCACATAAAAATCGGAACAAGTCCTCTGGTAGAAAAGTTGTCTACAGAAAAAAAAGTTCTTCATCTTTGTAAATTCATAAGCTTCTTCGCTCAACGTAGAATCTAAAATAGTAACTTTTCACTCTTTTGTCACATTACAAATATTTTTCATAAAATAATAAAAACTCCGACATACCTACATCGCAACATATAAGTACATATTCTTATAAAAGTTTATAAACTGAAAGCAACAATAAATCATCACAATCAAACGAGTAAAACAATTCTGAGCAGAGCTCGGTAAACTAGTTACCGAGGTTATTGTATTAGTCATATATACCTGACTCCTACACTAAGATTTTTTTTTAAAAAAATTATCGAAATTCTATAATTAATTTCCAAGTAAATATCTACTACTTTACTACTAGACAAAAATCAGATTCTTTTGAGGTGTCTTGAAGAAGTCGGGAAGGTAAGGCACAGAAAGTTATTTCATTTATATTTGTAAGCAACGATAAACCATTACTAACGAAATAAAATCCTAAACAAGCCCATTTGTACATGTTATGATAAAAAAATACCGTAATTTTTACAATTATTGTCAAAATAGTTTAAAAACTCTTATAGAAAAAAATTTACAACTTTACACTCAAATACACTATTTCCTAACTACTTAGTCCAACTTAAAATAAACCATGTGTTGAATTTTCAAGCATTTTTTTCGTCAGTTTTTTATACATAGACATACCAAAGAAAAAAATTTTAAAAAAATCTTATAGCTTATAACACAAAAATATCTTAAGTCTGGAAAAGTATTATATTAGTATTCTGTGTACATTTCAGCTCTCCATAATATATAGGTAATCATTTTTAACCAATTAACATAAACCATTAATACCATAAACTTTCATGTATTTTCTACTTTTTAGTCTATTTTTACGAAAACTATAAAATATTCATAACTAACTTTCTCAATGAATAGATCTAAAGTGCAACATAAAGGGCCTCTGGTTATGTTTTGATAGTAGCAAGCTTTTTGACAGAAAATGTCTTGCTACATTTAGAATTATAAAGCCAATAAATAAATTGTAAATTTAAAATATACAGTCTAACTAAACAAATGGAGAAATTTGCTATATTCAAAATTTAAAATGGTTTGTAAGTTCTTCATCCACCAACACCACATTTGTATTAGATATTTTTGAAAATTGAATGATAAGTAAATCAGACCAGATAGGTAATTAATGTAAATGTAATGAAATTATGAATCTTTTGTCTGCTAATAATAACAATGCAATACTACAAAAACTGAATTTTAAAATTTTTTTTTTTTAATTAACAGTGACACTTTGTCGATTTAAGTTTCAAAAGATGTTTAATTTAGAAATAAAGTATAATACTAAGTCTGTTGAGACATTAGCATAAAACTCGATTTATTCACTATTAAGTTATACCGCTATAATTGCACAACTACTTACAATTAGTAGCTAGCATTGCATAACATACAATTTTAAATCATTACATTAAAAATTGATTCTGAAGTCTGAACAAAAGTTAGATATAATCAGAGAAAACTCGTATACTAATAAAATAAAAAAAATTTAAAATGCTTTAATCATAACCGTACAAAAATATAATTTACAAAGTAAAATTTGTGAAATTATAAAATTTCATTTTGACAAGACTTTAAACTTCTACCCGCACAACTCTAAATAATAGGTTTAATTTAAAGTCAATGCAATTTGTTTATTTAAATAATATTATATAAATACACTTTTTTTTACAAATTATTTCAGAGAGCATAATTTTATTTTATTATTTATAAAAATATTTATAATTTATGTTATAAAAGTATGTGATAATACATTTATAGTAGTTTACTAGATTAAAAAAAAATAAATTATAAAAAAGCATTATTAAGCAAAAGGAAGTTTTTAGTTTATAAATCTTCAGTAAGCATCACATATATTGGACAATGCCAGCAAACTGAAGTAAATACTATCAGGATCTTTTACAACATATTTTTCTTGAACCAAAGATACTGTATCCTGTTGTTTAACAAAATAAACATATAATTATTTAATACATATAGCAAATTAAACTCAGCCTTATAAATAAATAATATAAAATATAGTTATATCTTACTTCAAGCAATGAATCGGGAGTTGTAGATCCATGATTAATTGGATCAAACTTTCCACCATCTATTAAAAATGAATTAATTTTTTATTCAGGTTTTAAATATACAATTAATTAATCGATTAATATATAAGTAATTTTATTCTTACCCAATTCATACAAACATCCATCTTTACAGACAAATGCCACAAAATGGTATGGTACATTATCTTCAGGTTCTGGTGGCTGAACATAAATATAATACAATTCATTAGTTTGAAATTAACATATTAACGAGAAAACTTTATATAAATTACATATAAAAAATTAAAAGAAATAAAGTTATAGAAAAATCAACAAATAATTTAAATAATTACACTATATTAGTGTTTTAAATTTAAACATATATTTCAATATTCTGTATAAATTTAATATTCTATTGTATGCAGGAAATTGTTTTATTCAATAATCCTACAAAGATATACTCGAATTTCAAAATGAAATTGTACCAAAATTGTGCATTCCTCTTTAAAATATCTCAGTCATTTTGATACATATTTCATACTAGCTAAACTATTGTTAAACAAAGCTCCCAATAAGATTGATTTCTAAAAGTCAAAATTTTAATTTACTAATTTGCACGCTATTGCCCATAACATAATTTAAATACATAACACAAAATATCAATAAAAATAAATTCTAAATTATATTATATATACGATTTAAAAAAAAAAAAAAACTAAGCTTGGTTTTTAAAAAAAACAAATTAATATACACATAAATTATAATTTATTTACCTGAGTTTGTCCCTCAATAGCGATTTCCCTGTGTGTATTAATTATATCTTCAGCTTTTGTCAACATTTCACCACGATCACTTGGTGACATATTTTGCCCCTCATCCAAAAACCGTTTTAATATACCATCTTCCAGTTGTATTCTAATATTCAATGTAACTTATTTAATATACTTCCAATAAAAATAAATGTATTTACAATTTGTTATAATATATTAGCATTTATCTTACTTATCTCTGTTATTAGCAACACTATGGATTAATGCCATAGTACCACAAGCGTTGTGTACATATTGTTTGACAAAATATATATCATCCGATACTTCCTGGCCTTTATCTTTCAGTTGTAACTCTTCTTCATTCTTACGTTGTTTATACTGCANCTTGGTCTTTTACCTTGTGGCTTCCATTCCAATGCTCCTCTAACTACTTTGTTCTCTCGTCTTCTCATTATGTGGCCTAACCATTGTATTCTTTGACTCTTGATGAAGCTTGTTACTGGTGCTAAATCCAACATATAGTACAGCTCTCTATTGTACCTCCTTCGCCAATTCCCCATTGTTTCATCAAAGACAGGTCCACATATTTTTCTCCATACTCTGTGTTCAATAGTTCTCAGGTTTCTTTCTACTTGTTTGGTCGTTGTCCAAGCTTCGCAGCCATACGTGAGAGTCGGTCTTATAATAGCCACGTATAGTCTTACTTTCGTTTTCCTGGACAACATTCCCATAAAAAAAAAAACAGCAATTTTATAATTTAGTGTTAAATTTAAATTAATTTATGTAATAACATAGAATATAATTATAATACAGAATATTTAACTCTAAAAACTTAAAAAAACTAAAAACATTCAATTGGGATCAAAAACAATAAAAAAATGTATAAGTAATATAGGTATACTTAAAAGTTTAAACTAATTAAGAAAGAATTTGGTGTTTTAATAAATTATATTAATAAAACAATTATACAAATTGATTTATTTAAATTTAAAATATATAATTATCTACTATAATTTTAGTTAATATTTAACTAGAACAATAGTCAATCATACATTCGTCATTATTTAAGTTAAAAATTACTAAGACCAACATTTATTAGGCAAGTACCAATTCAATAGTTTTATTAGACTTTAATACATGAATTATGAAAAATACAAAATATTTACTCATTTAAGATTTAAGGAGTAATGGTAAAAAACATTTAAAATAGTATTACAATAAATCAATTTCATAATGATTGTCTAGATTATATAGATATAAAATCTAATTGGATAAAACTTCCAAGAAAATATCTTCATCTATCATTTTATCATTCTATCATGATTCATGATAATTGTTTCATCCTGTGAACATATTTATGTATTGCTTGATAGTTATATTATAGATACCTAGTTGTTTTATAGAATTATTACACAAAATAAACAATAAGTAAGTTAGTAAGTCCTCGTGTCATAATGAAAATTAATTAACACATCACCATCTATATTCCTATTCATATTTCATGAAAATAACTAAGGAAAAATGTTTTTATTTTACATGGCTTACAATATTTTTATTTACTATAAACTTTCAACAGTTATACTTATATCTGGAATTTCCATAACTTGTTAAAATTCCACGGTGTTTTAAAATTATTTTTTACCTTGTTCATCACCTGAAACATAAATAAATATGATGAGTGTACATTTTTTTTTTAAAATTTATATTTAATAAGTTACAATGCACCAATAGTAACAACTGACAATAATTAGAAAAATAATCATTAGTGTTATATATAACACTATATATTTTTGAGTAAAATTATGGTACTTTTAATATTAGGTTTTAAGAAATATTTTCATAATGTTATAATGGTATTTATAACTAAATAGTAAAAATTAAAAATCTTTAAATCAACCTAACATGTTTAAGTAACGCTAATTTAAATTGCATGATTGATTTTTGATACAAAAAAACAATATTTATAAAATGAATACAAATTTATTTATACATTAATATTAGCTGTATAAATACAAGTAAATAATATTAAATTATTTTGGCTAAGGAAAAATGTATTCTTTTTTACTAACCGTTGGGTTAGATTCCAGAGGTATCCAGGACATTTTTGGCTACTAGAAACTCACAATTAAAAAAATATTAATAAAACAAGAAGGTAGAAGTTAATGGGTATAATATATCGAGAATAAAGAATTCAAATTGACAACGTCTCTGTTAAATACCTAGTAATTAGTGACAACCAACAGCAGACAAATCGAAAATTAAAAAAAAAGGAAAACACAACCTAAATATATTTTAATATATAAATCAAATAATAATTTACAAAACATTAGTCGGCGAATTTATCTTATCATATGTGATGGTTAATACAGTATCGCCATATTGAATGAAAAACATAAGATTCATCGACATTACAATAATTTACACTTGTTATCACGAACAAAGATAACAGGGATGAATTCGTGATATCTTAATTATTTTTTCAACGATATTGGCTGACGCAAAGTTATGACGGATGGGAACGAATAATATAATAACAATAATTTTAATATGATATTATAGTAATAATCATTTTTCTAGGTAAATTTTCTAATACTTACCGTTATTATCTTAATTTAATAATAAAAATTATTTTAAAAAAATATTTATCATCCAAAAAGAATAATTTCCAGTGTTCCGATTTTTCTTCCCAAAATATAATTTTGAGTCAGCCAATATCATTGAAAATATCTACAGTATTGTAAAATATTAAAAATATAATTAAGATATCACGAATTCATCCCTGTTATCTTTGTTCGTGATAACAAGTGTAAATTATTGTAATGTCGATGAATCTTATGTTTTTCATTCAATATGGCGATACTGTATTAACCATCACATATGATAAGATAAATTCGCCGACTAATGTTTTGTAAATTATTATTTGATTTATATATTAAAATATATTTAGGTTGTGTTTTCCTTTTTTTTTAATTTTCGATTTGTCTGCTGTTGGTTGTCACTAATTACTAGGTATTTAACAGAGACGTTGTCAATTTGAATTCTTTATTCTCGATATATTATACCCATTAACTTCTACCTTCTTGTTTTATTAATATTTTTTTAATTGTGAGTTTCTAGTAGCCAAAAATGTCCTGGATACCTCTGGAATCTAACCCNATAAATTTTAAAAAAAAAATGTACACTCATCATATTTATTTATGTTTCAGGTGATGAACAAGGTAAAAAATAATTTTAAAACACCGTGGAATTTTAACAAGTTATGGAAATTCCAGATATAAGTATAACTGTTGAAAGTTTATAGTAAATAAAAATATTGTAAGCCATGTAAAATAAAAACATTTTTCCTTGTTAAGGTATTTTCATGAAATTTGAATAGGAAAATGGTGATGCATTAATAAATTTTAATTATCACAGAGGACATACCTACAACTTATAGTTTATTTTATCTATATTATCTAGATTTATTTTTAATTTTTGACCCCAACTTAGTGTTTTGATTTTTTTTTTGTTTTGAGTTTATATATTTAAATATTCTGTACTATAATTTTGTAAATTAATTTAAATTTAATACTAAATTATACAATTGCTGTGTTTTTTTAATGGGAATATTGATATTAAGGCTATTAATTATTATTGTATACTGTTATATGTTTATTTGTTTTGCTAATGACTTGATGTAAATTTCAATTTGTTCAATAGTTTTTGCACAATTTGGGAGTGCCGAGTGATTGGGAAGTTTGCGATATTTTTGGATTTGGTCCTGATGAACTTGCTATTGTTCCTAGACCAGTTGCTTCTGTTATAATGTTATTTCCATATAACGATGCAGTAAGAAATATATTTAGATATTAGATACTTAGATATTAGTATATATATATATATATACATATACTTCTATACTTATATATAGGGCAGATAATTTGTAGCATTTGCATATTTGTTTTGCACTTTAACAAAAATAGCAATATACGAAACAAGAACGTTTCATACTTTCACAAAGCTAGTTTTAAAATTTTATTTTACAAATAAATGTATTATTTAGTTTTTTTATTATTTTGGAGTATATTTCTTAAATTTTATACTGCTCGAATCATATTTTAAATAATTTATCATTTTATCAATATTTTTTGTCGTTGTTTTAATTTCATTTTATATAAAACCCAAGTATTATTAAATTTAAAATTATTTAAATTGTTATTGTATATATATTATGGTTATTTTATAATCGTTTAATATAATTTTTCCGTAAACCACATTTCGAAGGTCGCTGATTAGATAAAATTTTTTTTTAAACAAACAAAAACAATTGTTTTCAGAAAGAAAAATATATATAAGCATATTGGTAGTGCATATTATAGGATTTTTAAGTGCATAGGTGGTTGCATATTTAGTGATTTTTTAGTGCTACAAGTCCTCTGTCCTACAGTTATATATTAAATTGCTGTTTTCATAAAGATGTAACATACGTTTTTGTAATTCATATTGCAGTATAAACAACGTAAGAATGAAGAAGAGTTACAACTGAAAGATAAAGGCCAGGAAGTATCGGATGATATATATTTTGTCAAACAATATGTACACAACGCTTGTGGTACTATGGCATTAATCCATAGTGTTGCTAATAACAGAGATAAGTAAGATAAATGCTAATATATTATAACAAATTGTAAATACATTTATTTTTATTGGAAGTATATTAAATAAGTTACATTGAATATTAGAATACAACTGGAAGATGGTATATTAAAACGGTTTTTGGATGAGGGGCAAAATATGTCACCAAGTGATCGTGGTGAAATGTTGACAAAAGCTGAAGATATAATTAATACACACAGGGAAATCGCTATTGAGGGACAAACTCAGGTAAATAAATTATAATTTATGTGTATATTAATTTGTTTTTTTTAAAAACCAAGCTTAGTTTTTTTTTTTTTTTAAATCGTATATATAATATAATTTAGAATTTATTTTTATTGATANGTTTGCGATATTTTTGGATTTGGTCCTGATGAACTTGCTATTGTTCCTAAACCAGTTGCTTCTGTCATTATGTTATTTCCATACAATGATGCTGTAAGAACTATACATTTGAAAATTTACTGTTTTCATAAAGATGTAACATAATTTTTTGTAATACATATTGCAGTATAAACAACGTAAGAATGAAGAAGAGTTAAAACTGAAAGGTAAAGGCCAGCAAGTATCAGATGATATATATTATATCAAACAATATGTACACAACGCTTGTGGTACTATGGCATTAATCCATAGTGTTGCTAATAACAGAGATAAGTAAGATAAATGCTAATATATTATAACAAATTGTAAATACATTTATTTTTATTGGAAGTATATTAAATAAGTTACATTGAATATTAGAATACAACTGGAAGATGGTATATTAAAACGGTTTTTGGATGAGGGGCAAAATATGTCACCAAGTGATCGTGGTGAAATGTTGACAAAAGCTGAAGATATAATTAATACACACAGGGAAATCGCTATTGAGGGACAAACTCAGGTAAATAAATTATAATTTATGTGTATATTAATTTTTTCTTTTAAATTGTGTTATATAATTTATAATTTATTTTTTATTGATATATTGTGTTTGTATCTAAATTAAGTTATGAGTAATAGCGTGTAAATCAGTAAATTAAAATTTTGAAACTAATAGATTAGCTGACTTAATTAAATTGGTTTATATTTATCACTATTAAATTTTTATTAAATTAATGTTTATTAGAAATCATTCTTATTGGGAGTTTTGTTTAACAATATTTTAGCTAGTATGCAATATGTACCAAAATTACTGAGGTATTTTAAAGAGAATTGCACAATTTTGGTACAATTTCATTTTGAAATCAAGTATATCTTTGTAGGATTATTGAAAAAACAATTTCCTGCGTACAATAGAATATTATATTAATACAGATTATTGAAATTATGTTTAAATTTAATTAAAACACTAATATAATGTAATTATTTAAATTATTTATTTATTTTTTTATAACTGTATTTCTTATCTTTTTGTATGTAATTTATATAAATTTCTCTCGTTAATATGTTAATTTTAAACCAATAATTTGAATTAAATTTATGTTCAGCCACCAGATCCTGAAGATATGATACCTTACCATTTTGTGGCATTTGTCTGTAAAGATGGATGTTTGTATGAATTGGGTAAGAATAAATTTACTGTAATATATTAATCAATCAATTAATTGTATAATTTTAACCTAACTAATAAATAAATTTGTTTTTAATAGATGGTCTAAAATTTGATCCAATTAATTATGGACCTACAACTCCTGATTCATTGCTTGAAGTAAGATTATAACTATATTTTATATTATTTTTTTACATAAGGCTAAATATAATTTGCTATTTGTGTTCAATAATTATATGTTTATTTTTTTAAATAACAGGATACAGTATCTTTGATCCAAGAAAAATATGTTGTACAAGATCCTGATAATATTTACTTCACTTTATTGGCATTGTCCAAGTGTTATTGAATGAATATTTAAAAAAAAATATGTTGCTTTTCATAATATTATTTTTTTAATCTATTAAACTACTTTAAATGTATTGTTGCATTTTTTTAATAAACAAATTATAAATATTTTTATAAGTACTTTAATAATAAAATACAATTGTACTCTCTGATATAGTACCTAATAATATGTAAAAAAAAATGTATTGTTATCTATATACATAAATTGCGTTGATTTTATTTGCAATTTTTACATGTATTAATTTTAAAATGTTTTTTTTTTTTTAAAAAAACTGTCGGTTTTAATTTTTTTACTACCTACAAGTTAAAAATACACGACTTATACAATAACCGTGGTAACGAGTTTACTGAGCTCTGCTCAAAATTATTTTACTCGTTAGATTGCAATGATTGTTGCTTTCAGTTTATAAACTCGTATAGGTATCTCCATGTGTATATCTGTGCGTTAGTATTTTTATTATTTATATTTTTAAAAATAGTATTTTTTTAAATTTATTATTTGGAAAGTTATTCAATAAATTATAAAATAATAGAATATAATAAATATTTGTATGATATACGTGGTGGCATCTAGTGACGCCAATTAGAAGCACGACATTTTAATTATAACATTCATAATATGATATCTAGTGATATCACAACAATTTATTAGTCTATGCACTTATTTTACATCAAGAAAACACTGATGGTTCATCACGAAATTAAGATTCGCTCAAGATATATGAAATAAACGAAGGCGATTTCAACGAACCTCATGCACTCTACCTACTTACCAAAGGAATATGTTTGCCGACGGTAGGTAATTTTGAATATTCCAATTGACCGATCTGATAATGTCAAAAGATCTTGATTTTTCTGCCCGCTCGTACCGAACTCCTTGGATTATTATCTGTTTACTAGCTGTCCCGCACCCAATGTTGCCCGTGCAAATTGGCACGTTGGCAAATCGGCAATTGGCATTATTATTATTTCACCCATATTAATTTTTGGTTTTGGCCGTGTCAGAATTGAATAAAAACAAATAGATGGAAAGTGGGCAGACCAAATGTTCTATTGTGAATTTTTAATAGTGTAAATAATAATAATTATTATGATGGTTTTCTATTCCGGAAGGCCAAAGTAACCTTTGAATAAACAAAAATAAATAAATAAACAATTATATATTCGTACCAAATATACCTAAAAACCCCTATTTTACCCCTTTAGAGATTGAATTTTCAAAAATCCTCTCTTATCGCACGGTGAAAGTATTAGAGGAACCACTATTCCAAATTTCAAATGCGTAGGTTGAATAGTTTTTGATACACAGCGATCAGTGAGTAAGTGGTATTTGGATTTTATATACATAGGTTTATTCGTATGGCAACAAATCAACATTACAGCAGATTAAATTTAGCTTATAAGCGGATAGTGATAATAGAATAAAATTATAAAGATAACATATATAGATTTAAATATAATAAAATAATAATTGAAAAATGTATGAAATCTAACTAAGGAGACTAGTTTTGTATTATTGCACCCAAGGTGGGTATATCCACCTTGATTGCACCATAGTCACCCTGGAACATGGATGCACGTCCGATTCCTGTATCAATTTTATAACCTACGGTGTTATCGCGTGTATTCCCACTTGGCTATACTCTTTGCCCCTTGGATGTCGCTCGGATATCTATGTCTTTTTGCGGTTGAGCCCTTGTGACGGATGACGAAAATTCTTATAAGTGTTACGAACATGACGGACGGTACGTGTTTCCGGGCCGTCGACGATGTTTTCGACTGTTTCGAATAACTATACTCTTGCGGGAACCAGAGGTACACCAACAACAAGCACGCGGCGTTCATGGCGAAACCTGAGAATGACCGACAAAAATAAAAACCGATTACCATTAACCGGGTGTAAGGTAAGTCGGCAACTGAAATGCGAACGTGCGCCATCGGGGCGCAATTGCGCGAATTATATTTACTTCTTAGGAATCGAAACATTGTGAGACGTGTGAGAATATAATGATTCACACGTCGGTCGGCGCGTTTGACGACATCGTCCCCGCACCGACGTGGGTATTAAACTGAATTTTTATCGTTAAAGTTTGACTATCAACGAATAATCATTTATCGGCTCCGACGCAAAGATGTGCCTCAAATTTAATTTTTTTTAATTTTTTAATTTAATTATAAAAACAATAATGCAAAGATGGCGAAGAAGATCACTGAAACCATGCATTAGACATATTTGGTCCATTCATGGAGTCGATTTTCGACTTTTCCCATTCAAACATTTTTCCGATTTTTTATAAATTTTTCATAGATTTAGATTGTTCACAACCTCATCAAAGGGTGGCGTTACTCGCAAATAAATTAAAAACATAATTTGTGCAATTTGCGTGTCAAATTTATTTTATTTTGACCGCGTTGGTATGAAGTTGGCGCATAATACAGACTGTCTGACTGTCAACACAAAAACACTGATCTGTCATTCTCATTAAAAAGTTTTATCATTTGTGGTTATCGTGTCAATCATGTCAAATAATCTAATAAGAAAATATTAAAAACCTCATAAATAGTAAAAAAATATTTGCTTTCGTGAAATTTAATGATGGTTTTCAGTACTGTTTTGTTTGTATGTTTGTCACGGATAAGCTCAAAAACCAGTTAACCGATTTGTTCACATTCTTTCACTTTTAAAAAAATATGTTATCAGCGAGTAACATACGTTGTTGTATTTTATTTTCAAAAACAGAGATCCCTACGAAAATTTCAATAATTAGGTATTTAGGTATTTAATATATAATTGTTAATTTATTTATTTTTGTTTATTCGTGGGTTACCTCGGTGATATGGGTGACAATTTGGTTGTCATGGACAAGAAAACTTTTATTAATATTATTATTATAATTACTATTATTTTCACTATTTCTAGCATTATCAAAGCATTAATTAATAATAATAATATTAGTTTTGCATAAGAAAAATAAACGACGAACATCATCCGAACATAATGGCGGACGAGGCGGCCAAAGACCATGATCTGATAGCCCGAACAAAAAAGGTTTCCGAGCTGGTCAAGGTAAGGTAGAACGGTGGGGTGATTTCATTTTAATGAATTATAAATAATTGAATGCAAATATATAATTAGGCTGTTCTCAGTACTTAGGTAATCGTAAAATTACTTTTTCCACAAACCGAAACTTTTTCACACAGTATCCTTGAATCATTCATCAAAATGTTCAGCAGTTTACCCACTAGGTCTTTTTTTTGTTGATTTCTGGGTTACCATCAACGGAAAATACACGAATACTACTACTCTGCTTAGAATCCTGTTCACAATAATTTATCGTTGTATATTGTACCTATATAAGCTAAATTATCCTATGTATCCTATATTTTTTCAACTATTCATACTATTGTGAACAGGAAGTTAGAAAGGTAGTTGTATTATATGATATAAGGTAATTCAGTTTATTACTATATGAAACAATAAATCATTACAAACTATTCGGAACGGGATTTATTAGGTTAAACATTTTGCGATTAAATTAAACATTTTATACATTTGTAAATAAAAAAAAATTATAATGGTTTTAAAAGAATTTTATCATAAATTTGAACTTTAAAAGCTTACCAGAAATAGTGACTTTAGGCTTACTTTTTTTTACTAAAAAGTACAACTCGATAGAATTCAATCATTTTTGAGAAGCCCAAAAATTGTATCCGCATAAAACTAAAAGAAACCCAAAATCAAGTAGCAGTAAATAACAAATAGTGTTGGAATATTTTTGAAATTAAACCACGTCTAAAGAGTACTAAATTAAGTCTGTGGAGGAAATACTAGGAACACTTTTCAGTGAATTACAACCAAAAAATCAAAATTAATTTTCACACAACTCGTTGTTTTGAAAATATTCCCGTTTATCCTTTTCTCCGGTTTTCTCCCATGGCCCCTTTATTAAGAGATGTAAAAAGAAAATCATAAATGACTTGTCTAATGCAACAACTAGACAAAATTGTTTAGCTGCAAAAACCACCTCTAATATGGTATTGATGATTGAAGCATGATTTCTGGTTGAAAAGTTCTCAAAAGTTAAATTGTTAATATTGATTTTATGTATTTATTTTTATCATACTATATTATTGTATTTATTTCATTTACCATAATTGTAAAAAAATACACTGCCGAGGAGAGGAGGGGCGATTGCCACTACCGTTACCTCTCTCTAAAATGTACCACTGACGCGTTTATCGAAAATTAAATTTTGTTATATATACGATACCTAATGACATTTCTTTACGGTTTAAGGAAAGCTACAACGACTTATTGAAGTCAAGGAGTAAACTATTACTGGAATTGGCCGACATTAACGATGACCATGACGACTTCACCATCCCGTCCACTCCGTGCTATTCCGATTTGTCTTTTCGACATTTATTAAAACGCCCGACGGAAGTTCTGTATCGCGAAAGCAGAGTATTCATTATAGTTTTAATGTCTGTGACGTTTTCGGTACAGGTGAGGGAAATAGTATTATTGTATAATTTGTAATTTTTTATATTTATAAGACTCGACAATTCAAATAATATTATTATAACCACGATATATAGAAGATTTTCTTCTTTACATCATGATTATAACCGTACCTACAGAAATTGTCGCAATACGATGTATGCTGTTTGATAATGGGGTTTAACCAAACGAATAATATTTTAATTTTTCTTACAAAATATATTATTACTTTCATATACATGGTATTAATATTGTAAAACATTGTTGATTAAAACTGATCATCGAACAATATTAACCGCGTCACTTAAATAAATTACGTGTTTTACAGATGTTTTCCCGGGATATTTGGATACCGTTTTTCGAACCGGCTCTTGTGGCTTTTCCGGCATGGTCACAAATTTCCTTGGCGTTATTATCATTTTGGAACGTCATTATGTGCGCACTGTTGATGGTCCCTTCTTGCATCGTTATTAACAAATACGGTAAATATAATAACATTATTAAATTGAGTTCAGTTCGATTCAGTCGCGTTCGAACTAATACTTTAGTCATGTCATTGCATCATATTTATTTAATTTTAATTTTGATGCGGTTATTTAATATTTTTACCAGCGATTTTGGACCGATTAGCAATAAATATTTTGCAACATCTTTTTCGAGATAAATATGCATTGTGAATCATGAATTTCCAAGTCATCTATCTAATATTGTTATGTGTCTGTGAGATCCAATCCAAAAAAGCTACTCTTATAAAGACAATTTATCTTAAGTTCGTAAATCATAAAATATAAAAACAATTGTTGCGAATAATACTTATAGGTATACCTGTAGCGCACTGCATCAATTTCCAAGGGAGCTATCTAGTAATTTTATGATTTATTCATCAATGAGGTACCCAGTTACCCAAACGTTTTATATTTATGTACCCAAATGTATTATGTGTTTACGTGAACAAACACCTTTTACATTTACTAGTAAAAACACAGCTATCCACCCAAACGTGTTACGGCCGTTTCCGCGCGTTATAACATAGCAACATACGCGTTTCGCATTTCCACGATTACGGCTCTCTGGGTGAGTTTAGTGCGAAGGGACCTATTATACATTCTATAATAAAGACGAGTATTTACTACGGAGACCACGAATGATATTTTTCAATATTTTAATTTCTTAATTTACGGCTATTAACGGCTAAAATTAAGAGAAAATTAAAACACGAATATCTCGATGAACAACGGAAATATTCAAATTATCATTCGTAAGATCCAGTGTAATAAATAAGTATATTCCTTAATAAAATGGGCCCCTCTGCTCTCGACTCAACCAGATAGTTGCAATCGTGGAAATGCATAACGCCTTTGTTGCTATATTATGCACGAGACGAATAAAACAAAACAAATGTTAATCAAATAAATAAATAAAGAATGAATGAATGCATGGCCTGGAGTATTATGAAATGTGTATTGTACTACCGAAATTTTAATCGGTAAAAGACGATTCCGTACGATTTTCTGGGCAATGTTGCCAATCTATTATTTATTACTAAAAAAGTTAAAAATATATCAATTAAATAGTATAGATTGTATATTGTACACATTTTTACTACAAATACTTGGACAAACATTTTATTATGTGTTTGTGAATCAATTATTCATTGATTGTATGATCTAAACATGTTTAGTAATACCTTATTGTTCATCACACGTAATTACTATTTGTTTTTATGCTACCTAAAATTATTAATAACACAATAATTTAAAAAAAAAAAAAAATCAATGACGCGAAAACTGATCATCAAGTGCGCATCTTCACTTTCCAAATACACAAAATAAGCCCGAATGCGATTTAGAATAGACCCTATTATGAAAATCTAGCAACGTTGCATTGAAATCTTAAGTACAAAACGCACGGAATCTTGTGCCTTAAAATGTGCACGATTCCGTTTCTCTGATAAGGATCGTACGGAATCGTTTTCTACCCATGTTAATAACGCGATCTCTTAAATCGAATTCGATGTCGCATACTTGCCGTACAGGTGTCAAGACCGGTCTTTTGTGTTCGTGCGTGGCGTCTACTTTCGGTACGGCCATACGGTGTTTGCCGTTTATCGGAGAAACAACGTTGTGAGTGTAAAAAAAAAGCTAATAAAATACATTTTTTTGTTTAATTAATAATAATCAAAAGTAACCGGAATTATTGCTATCGTATTTCACGCACAGTTATATACACGCGTCCTCCGTATTCCTGTCAAGTGCTTCGGCAGTCACGATACCCCTAACGGTGACCATATCCACTTGTTGTTTCAGGACCGGCGAAAAAAACTTAGCAACAGGTAAACATACCAACAAATAAAAACCTATGATATACGCGAATCCGCGAGAAAACCTAACGCATATACAATACGTTTATATATAGTGATGTTCCCATAGGATATACACTACATATTATGTGGAGTTCTCATAAGTATAACCAAAATAGTCAATTAATAATAAAAAAAAAGGACGGGCATACTTCGCACGTGGGTGCAGCCATTTTTATAGGTGGGAAGTCGATAAGGTAGGATACAGACGGGAATTTAATGTATATATGTTAACGATAAACCATTGCTAACGAAAAAATGATTCTGAGCGGAGTTCATTTGATAGTGGCACTTTGTCATCAATACAATATATGATATATATCATATTATGGTAAAATAATTATAACAATGTGCCTTTCCATGACAACAATGATTGTTTAAAAAAGATTAAAATAATAACAAAAACGGTTGCCAATGACAACCTTGTTTTTAATCTTTCAATCTTTTTTAACCTAAAGACCGAGATTTTCCTCATTATCTCAAATATTCATGAGAATTTCAAAAAATGACCAATTTAAAGTACCACCCAGAGAACATTTTCTTTCAGAAAAGGAGCTATATTTGATAAACGGAGTATTCGCTTTGGTAGAAAAAGTGTTTACAAAAAAAAAAAAAAATAAACATTATCGTAAAACCGATAAATTCTGCGTTCCACTCAGAATCGAAAATAAACACCATTATAAAACCAGTATATTTCTCGCTCCACTCAAAATCGAAAATTCACAACGCATTTTTTTTTAAAAAATTTGAGTGTTTATTTTGAAAATTTTAATTTTATTTTTGTAAATTAATATTTATTTCCATACAAACAGTACAAACCATACGAATAATATAAAATACTCGATATGCGCAAAATGTTTTAGTATACTCTCGAAAAAAATGATGGGAACACCACTGCGTATTTATAGGATAATATTCGACTTTATCCTTCCTTCATATTACATACACACCAGCATCCCCCTCCCCCGTCTAACCACATACACATAAATATAAGAACATGAGGACTTATACAAGTATGACCGAATGACGTGTTTAAGGATGTTTGACCAGTTCGTCGTTGATGGGCTCGGCCACTGGTTTACTCGTCGCCATCGTCCTCCAAGCATCACAGCCGCTGTCGTCATCGAATTCTGCACGTTGTAAAACCATCGTGACCAGCCTGATGTACATATGTGAGACCGAATTAAAATTTTCAATTATTTTGAGTAATTGTCAGTAAGCACGCGGGGCACACGAGTTTTTTTACATTACAAAAAAGGGTATTGTATTATAATCGAATCTTTACATCGATAAAACTATACGAAAACGATTTCGCTGTTGTTTTTTTGCGGAGGAGGGAGATTTGACTGAACGTAATTATTTCGTGTGTGCCATCACGTTTTTGTACTGTTCGATTGCACACTACACAAAATATCAGAACTGTCTCAAGATGCCGGATTAAAGATAGCCTATTTTGGTAAAAATACACCATGGTCAATTTTTATTGAAACCAGCACGAATTTTTAGACAAGTCTCAGACTAACTAAACATTTTTACTTAAAACACCGAGACCAATTTTTGTATTTCACTGTTATTTTTAATAGTACTGTGGTACATTTATATTATTTATAATATTTCTAAATAATTGTACAAACAGTAAAATTTGTAAAACTTAACATATCTACAACATAAGAGACGCATATGATTTCACCATACCCCGATGGCGCACGTTCGCATTTCAGTTACCGACTTACCTTACACCCGGTTAATGGTAATCGGTTTTTATTTTTGTCGACCATTCTCAGGTTTCGCCATGAACACCGCGTGTTTGTTGTTGGTGTACGTCTGGTTTCCAAAAGAGTATAGTTATTCGAAACAGTCGAAAACATCGTCGACGACCTGGAAATACATACCGTCCGTCATGTTCGTACTGCAAGCAATTTCGAAGTATGTATACAAAAATTAAAACATCGCTATTGATGTACGTGCGACTCGGACTTTTTATTATCCGCCGAGTCTTTTTTTTTCTCGTACACAGAAATATCGGACTCGTGTACATCGCGTTGTCGTACGTGTGTTCGAACGCGTACTCTTGGCCATGGTACCAGATGATCGACGTCACGTTTTCCAAGATGGACTATCTACCGGTAAGCCGGTTCAGCGAAGGGGGATATCACGTATGACGCATCTCAGTTTAAATATAGATAATAATAAGTATGGATATAGGTAGGACATCTTCAAATTGATTTTTTGAGGTTCGGCCAATCAGGCGATCAAATATTTTATTATGGCTTTATGAGGTATTTTAGATTCGGAGCGTGGTGAAGAGTGTATTGCTTTAAAAATAATATTTATTAAGATTTGTTAACAACTTGTCTACCAGAAATCTTGCTCCGATGTACTAAGTGTACCATCTTTTCTAAAAGGAAATTTTATCTAATTAGTACTTTATACATATTATTTTTTGATTTTCCAAACGGTTTTCTTAATAATTGGGAAAAACCGTGAATAAACTTAGGGAAACCGGAAAATGTACATATGTCTCAAAAACAGTTTTCGCTTCGCTAAGGTTGGGAAATATAATATTATATCAACAAATAACGTATTGTTTATTGTTTTTGTAAACATGATGAGCAGGTGACCGGCGAGAATTGCCGATTCTGGATGATCGTACAAACGTGTATACTGACCCTGGTTGTCTGTTGGTTCGCTGATAGTGTGGCCGATTCCAACAAGTTTTACGCACTGATATGTCATTTCTTTGGGTCGGCATTTTTGCTGTGTGTCGTATGGACAGTGACTTCTCGCCAAAATCCATGTACATGTCCCGATACCCAGTATCTATGCATTATAATATACTGAACTAATTATTACTGTATTTTTTTCTATTTCTACAGCTTACTTTGTATCCAGAGTCATGCTGGCGTTCCCGTTACAGTGGGCCACTCAGAGTCTGCTCTACCAGATGATCGCCGACAACGCTTATCCGTTACCGGAAAACGTGGCTGTCGGACTCGTGCACGTATTAAAAATGATTTTCGAAACGTTCGTCTATTTGGTCATGGCGATAATCCCCGAACATCGTAAGTAACACCCAAATAGTCAAACCACTCGAATTATACAAGGGAACTTATTTTTTATAAGACACCAGCCGAGAGTTCGTGTTGCCGATTAACTTTGCGAAAAAATATTCCCCTATTTAGACAATTACTGATTGCATAATAATATCGTCTGTATAATTCGACCAACGGCAGTGGAAGATTTGTCTTCCCTCACTCACCCAGGCATAGTTGTCAAATTTTCCCCTATTACTTATTCCGACTATATTATTGTATCGTATAATATTTTTTATTTCTTATATAGATACTTATTTATTTTTTTCTCACTATTTTTAGACATTTTTAACGGCTCACTTTGGACCAAATAAACTCAAATTCGGGAATTAGATTTTTTTAAATTTTATAGGATTATTGGATTAATACAAACGTAGATGATTTTCAGTATAAATTGTTGTCAATGAATATTGTTATGGGAAGAGGGTACATTTTAGCTTTCAACACCCCTATACAGGCCCCTACAAATGATGATGTGAATCGATTAGTAAAGTAAAGTAGGTAAATCATTCATCAAGAAGTATAAATATAAATTACATTAGGTACCATTTTACAAATAATTTAATTTTTAATTGTTTTATTCAAATAATCAATAATTTTTTCTCTTCATACTAAACTAAGATTAACTGATCAGTAATTGTTTTGAAATTTGGTTATATTAAATTAAATTAAATTTAATAAATAAATAAATGCGTTTTAATTAACCTAATTAATTTGCTGTCTACCGAAAATATTAAAAATCACAATTTACAACGTATTATTTACAAAGAAAATATGCTCACAGCTGTGAAGTTACCTCCCTTCCCACGCTGAATCGTTCCAAAACAATTGTAAGTTACAGCCTTTTGTAGGTAACTGTAAGCTCATTCTCGAAAATTTTTAGTTAGCGATAAGTTTTTGGGTGGTAGTCCCCCTCCATCACAGCCAAATGGTTCCAAACAAATTGTAAATTAAAGCTCTTCAACTGCAAGTAAGTTTAAGTTCATTCTTAGAATTTGTAAGTTGACATTGTATTCCTATGAGAAAATTTTGAATTATTGTATATATTATACATATTTGATTTTATTTATACATACAAAGATAATAGACTTTATTAAATAAGTTCGTGGGCCCATAATTTCAGTTATTATTTTCTCTTAGCCAACTATCCACATTATTATATGGTGTTTACAATATTCCAGATGGTCTTACTGGTAATGTTTCGTTAGTATTTAATGATAATTTTCTCAATGAATCTATCTTTCAATATTTCTAAATGTCATTCTATGACTTTCACTCATCGTAGAAATTCTATCAGCTATGGTTATAAAATTGATGAAAAAACTATTTCCTTCCTTGATAAGTTATTTACCGACTAGGGTTTTGTATTTAATCCCACTTTGAATCAACATTTATACATCGAGACTTTGTTTTAAGCTCTCAAGACCCTCGGATTCATTAAGCTGACTTCGGCAGAATTTGGATTTACTTCTCCTATGAAAATCCTTTACTGTGCTTTTGTTAGACAACCTCTTAATTACGGATCTACTATTTGAAACCCCATATCAGTAACACACTCTTCCTTAGTAGAACGTGTTCGATGTAAATTTTTTAACTTCGTCAGTGATAGCCTAAAGATTAATTGTTCCCCCACGATTACACATCCATTCATAAAAGCCTCGGCCTTGTCTCATTAGCTGACAAAAGATACCATGCCAACATAAAGTTTTTATTTAAGCTTATATCTAGTGATATTGATTCCCCTACCCTCCTTTCATCTATATTATTCAAAGTTCCTCCTCGTATGACACGCCACTCATATCCATTTCATATTCCTCTATCCATTACGATCTATGATTCAAATAAATCTCAAGTGCGTTGTATATCCCGTTCTAACTCCGACTCTTCTTTTTTTAATTTTTATCTAATCAATTACAATTTGTAAACTTAAATTACTACCAGCTTTATTATTATTAAGCATAGTTATGATATGCATATTTATATTTACTTCTCTATGTTATGACTAAAATATTTTTATTATTTTTTTTTTTATTCTTTTATGTTTAGCTTTAGAACTACCATAAATGCTATAATTAAGCTCAATGCCCATGAATAATAAATTCATTAAATAAATGCTATTAGCAGGTCTATTCATATAAAAATCTTTGTAGCTCTTAAATTCTCAATTTAGGTGTACAATAATTTAAAAAATATTATTCTCCTTAAGAAGCGGGCCACCTTACTTTTAAAAATCTCAATTAACAGCTAGTTACTCAATATTTTTCGAACTAAGAGTAAAATACAAACGCCTTTCAAAAACTGATTACAGAAAAACCGAGCACAGTCTGACTTTTTTACCCCATTTCTTTTGGAAATACGTTTGGGATCTACGGAAATTAAAACTTCCAATTCCCTCGTCAGTCCATCTTAATTATTCAACCTCTGCTATGGAGAGCCAATAAGTTCATCTATTTTCAAAATATGTATCTTCTGCTTAAATCCTCCTATACAGCCTCCACTTCCAAAGGGCTCTACAAGATTATAAATAACTAAATCACTTAGGATATTTCACCAAATATCCATTTTCAACACATTTTACAAATACTATCGAAATTAAAAGAGACGGACATATTTCGCACGTGGATACAGACTACCTTCACAACTTCCCACCTACAACAGTGGTTGCATCTACGTGCGAAGTAGATCTGTCCTTTTTTTTTAATTGAGGCTTAATTTCGTGTCAATAAAACGATTTTATCGAAAAAAAACTTTCTAATAAATTGTTACAAGTACTGTTCGAAAATATATAATATTAATGGATCATTACTGTTTGTTTTTGTTTCCAGATTTGTATTGGATGCATTGGTGGACGTTTGCTGCTGCACTATTGGGTTTTGCATTTCTTTTAATATTCAATGACAATCGTTACGTCAATAGGTATTAGGTATATTAAGAATGTCTTAATACCTATAATGTATTCAGGCACCATAAAATGGGATGAGTTACAACGGTTTTAGAGTTTTATACAACTTTGAACTTTATTTAAAAATCAGATATTTATACTACCATTAAGGAAAAAACTTCTTTAAAATTGTTGTTACTTTGTTTATCATTATAAGTATAATTCAGACATATAACTTGGAATTTTTTTTTATTATATTTGTTTATATGACTTAATTTCAATATACTTTTGATTTGGGTGAATTGAAACAGTGGATTAAAAATCATATTTTATGCATTTAAAACAATTCATAAAGAAATTGAATCACTAAATAAATTTAAAAAAAAAAAAATAATAATTTTCAATTTTTTTCTCATTATCATAGGCAAAATAATAAGTATCTCAAATTTTATAAACATAAAACATTTGAAATTATTCTATTATTTTATTTTAGCCTTTCAATTTTTCTCCTTTTACTCCCATCTTTTATCCATCTTTGAAGTGTGAAATAATGCATATTATGATTATTAGCATATTTTTTTAAAGAAGATCTGTCCTTCATTTTTGCAGCAGCAGCATTCAGGTCATTTTCATTTCTTTTCTGATAACACTAAAATTGAATATCTAACAGTAATAATGAACAAATTTGAAATTACTCAAGATTTGTTACAATTCACCCTTCACAGTTACAGATCATCCCATAGACCTACTAGGTGCATTAACATTTCATGTAAATAAATGAATTTAACGGTTGATAGCCACTGTACTCGATGATATTCTAGAATAATAATTATATATATTTTACGGTCCAATCTACCATTTAAACTTTGAATAATGACTTATAGGGTAAAAAATCAAATGAGTAAAGAGGAATGGTAATATATTTATAATAAAATATAATGCCGATGAAGAAACATCGTTCACTGTACCTAAAACAATGAAACGTGTAAATAATTAGGTACATATCTAAAAAAAAAAAATTAAAGTTGTTCAAATGATTTAGTGATTATGAATACAATCATATACAAATGATTTGTAATGAAAACATTTGGTTTTATCTTAAATTTTCGCAATATTTAAGATAAAACAGTTTCACTAAAAATTAAAATTAAAACGTTGTCCTAAGAAAATTGGTACCGGTGAAGCCTCTGTTGTTGGTGAAAAGTTGGGAAGGTAGTATATAAAGGAGAAATTTATTTGTATCTGTAATCAATGATAAACCATTCCTTACTTAAAACGATTCTGAGGAGTTCAACTGATAGTGATACTTCATCAAAAATATAAATGTCGTATAGTAAAATAATTAAATAAGCATTATATATTTTCTTTAATATTTGTTTAATATTGTACCAATTTACCAAAGTTTTTCACATTTGCTGGGAAAACTCCTTGGAAAATAAAAAAATTACCTCTTTAAAGTACCTTCTCAGTTAGATTTACTTTCAGAAAAAGTGATATTTTTATAAATTGTAGCAAAATTACTGGTAGAAAAATTATTCACATAACAAAATAAACATCTTTGTTTTATACTCAACTCAGTATCTAAAACTATTGTGGAATAAATTATTGCTTCAGTTGAGATTTTCCTCAATTTTTATTTTGAATACAAATAAAAAAAAATAATAACCAATAATTAATATGATAAACTGAATGAAAAAACCAATGTCCCATACTGTGAAAATTAATTTATTAGGTACTGTCTTGTGAACAGTAATGTAATCCATAAATATAAAACAACACTAATGGGATTTCTAAAATATTATATAAATTTTAGCTATGATTATACTAAGGATATCTATACATAAATATTTGTATTCTAATTATTTTAAACTAGTAGGTTATCTTAGGAAAACGGGTTGCTAATGATTTGTTTATCATTTTTAAATTTTCTTTACTGTATAATTATTATTCTTAAGTAATAAATTATAATAATATTACTACTACTGCTATTATAATTTTTGCTACTTTTTATCAGGTTGTCAGTGGCATACCCAGGGAGACCTTAGAATTTCAGCCTCCCCCACCAAGAGCTGTGTTACAGAAAAAAATTATAATATAAACCTACCAGTAATAAAGTTAAGTACTTATTACAAATATTGAAGTATTGAACGTTGAATTCAAATCATTGATAAGACAGTACAAAATGTCTATTATTGACAACTATAGATGTATTTATATTAACTATAGTAGTGGTTTTAATATTTGATTATATGTTTATCCAGTACAATTATAATGAAGCTGAAGTAAAAATTTTTTTAACCAAAATATTTCATGTTTGAAATAAATTCAGGTTCATATTTTACAAATGTAAGAACCCACTAATAACTAAAGTAAATAAAAACAATTTAGATAATAACAAAAAGAATAGTTTATTAATTTTTGCCAAACTTTAATTTGTTTCTAAATTTTTTTGGATTAATTCCATATGCTTTTAAGCGGTCATCTGTCATCGATTCTAAAGCACTAGCCTCTTTATTATTAGGTTTATGTTTCTTGTTTGAGAACTTATGTTTTTTATTTGATCCATTCTGAACACTGTCAATATTTCGTTTTTTACCTTTTCTAACATTTTTATCAATCTTATTTTTGTTTTGATTGAAATCAATTTTTTGTTTTTTAACTTTTTTATTGTCTGATATATTATTGTTCTGTGTATGGTCTATTATTTGACTTTTATTTTTCTTATCAGTTTTATTAATATTATTTTCATTCTGAGTTTTATGTGTCGTCTCGTAATTTGTAGTAATTTCATTTCCATTTCCACGCAGAAGTTCATCATTACTATTATTAGATAAATCTTCTACTTTAAAAATATTTTTTAAGGGCTTTTTCTTTTTCTTATTTTTTGGTGTATTTTTTTCTTTCTTCTCATCTTTTGTTTCATTTGGTTCATCAAATCTAAAAAATTCAATATATTAAAAATGCATTACAAAAATATACTGATTATAAATAAATGCAAAATTAGTGAAAAAAAAAAAAAAAAAGTTTAAATTACAAAATAAACTGGGTATATTGGGTGTAATTATATATGTAAATATTAAATACAAAATACATACTCTTCTTTAAAAAGACTGGGCAACATTTTCTTTTTTAATTCTATGTCTTTGCCCTTTCTCTTGTAAATTTTAGCTTCAAATTTCTGAACTGCTTCGGGTTGGATTTTTGTCAATTTTCCTAATGGATACCATTTGTTAAGCTCATTGTCATCAGCTAACAAAATCTGTAAAATTACCAACGAACATAAATAACATAATGTGAAATAATTATTAATACAATACCTCTTCAATTGTCAGACCATAATCATTGGGAAGTACTTTATTGTAAGAGTATCGAGTTGGCACACCACTAACCACATCTTCACAATCTAAACTATAAAATTCATCAATATATTTTTCAAATGATCCCATTGTTGAATTATATTTTGGTATTTTTTTATTATTTGTTTCATCGACATCTTCATCAATTATTAACTTCTTCTTTTCTTTTCGTTTTGCAGCTCTAGTTTGTTTTTTGGCTCTCTTTTCCAAACTTGGATCATAGTCACAGTCCATCTAATCCAGTAAAAAAATATAAATACAATATTATTACAAACTATATTAGATTTTTATTTTTCAGGAAACATGTCTATAGTTTAAATTAATAAGTAAATAAATGTAATGAATAACAAAACTAACAATGAATTCATCTTCTTCTTCATCAAACACTGGCTTTGTATCATCTGTTTTATCATAAAATTCTTCGTCAAACAATTCTTGCATTTTACGATCATACTCTGTTGGGTTAAAATCCTCTTCTAATTCTGTATCCTTCAATATTTCATGTAACATACACAATTACATATATTTGAACAAGCAACATATTATACTTCATTACATAATTAAACATACCTCAAATCCAACACCTTTATTTCCAGTTAATTCTTCAAGTTTTCTAATTCTGTCAACAATTTCTTTCTTTTTAAGTTTTTTAAGTTGTTTAATTTCCAATGATCGTTTCTCTAATTCTTTTTTTTTTCTTTCATTTAATTCTTCTCTTTTTTTCTTACGCTTTTCTTCTTTACGTCTTAAAGAATTTTCCATTGTTCGAGGATAAGTTTTAATCTAAAAATACAAATTTTCTTTTTAATTAAAATGCAAGCATGTAAAATATTTAATTTTAGCTTTTTGTAAAACTTTCTTACAAAATCTTTATCAGGTTCTTCAAATCTAAAATTATATTTATGTTCAAATTCTTCATGTTTCTCAAGCATTTCATCCTCGTCAGAGAATTTCATTTCATCTTCTATTACATTTTCTTCACTTGGTTTTTCTAAAAATCTAATTGGTAAATAAATTATATTAGGTAGTTAAACTTTATTTATGATTAAGTATATAAATATTAAGCAGTGATCATTTGTGATAGAGCATAAGCCACTAATGGTATCTGGTACCTACTAAGTAATATGTTTCAAATTACCTTTTATTTAAGATATAATCACACAAAAACTGTTCACCTTCATCTAAATTAGGGTTATTCCAATAATCATGTAAATATTGAAGATCATTTTTAGTTTCCTTGTCTTCAAGTTCATCTCGATTCCCTTTAAGCCATTCTAAATAATCTTTTTCTTCTTTTTCCTGTAACAATTTTAATAAATAAACTAAATAACTAATTCTAAATAAATTACTATTTACTCAACCAAAATATTTTTCATAATTTAGCGATTTAATAGATGTTATTGTATTTTTTTAATTAATTATTTATTATATTATTATAAAGACAGAGGTCGCTAAAAGTCACTTTACTTATTTACACGTCAACAATTTTTTTTTAAATTCTTGTACCTACATTTATTAAGAAAATGGGTGTAATTATTGGTTTTTTTGATAAGTAATAACTAATAAGTAATATTTGACGATTCTTGTATTAAATAAAGCATTTATATTTTATAGGTTTTTAATTTTTTTTTAAATTTACCTGTTCTTCTTTAGTTTTACTACGGGGCTTTAAAATATCTTCATCATCAGAATTATCTTCTAAAGCAAATTTAAAACTTTTTTTAATAGCTTCTTGTTCTTCAACATATGAAGGTGACGACATGCGAACTTTTTCTTTTTTAAGAACATCTTAATTGAAAAAAAAACAAAACCAACTTTTTAAAAAGTTATAATAACAACTACCAAGATCAAGTACTACTTACAATGAACCTAGTTTTAAATTATTGAGAATTTGTTATGGGGCTAAACAAACTTAATTCACAAAAATTAAAAAATAATTTCTATTCGCAATTTTAATGGTTTTTAAAATTTTCATAAAAACATGAAATTAAAAAGTTTATAAAAACAAAAATAAGATTATGGATTTGTTATTTTTTTATACTATCAGAAAAAAAATTGTAAGGAACCATTAGTATACAATTTACAATTAGTATACAATAGTACAATACAAATAGTATACAATTTATAAAAATATATTTACGTTACCAAAAGTAAGTTTACTATAAAAGAATTCAAAAATGTAAATAGCATGATAAATAGAATTGCAAAGAAAATCAAAGTGTCCTCTCTAATGCAGTATGCCCCAACTAGACAATATTGCTACCACAAATCACTTTATATTCATACATAATTTACCATTAATTTCCACAGTATCATCAAATTCTGGTCCACGTTCTAATAGAATATTTCTTTTGTATTCTTCCAAATAAATGGGATTTGAACCTTTATTACTTTCATCAGTAGATGTTTTGGTAGTTTGTCGAGTTGATGAATTAAAAAAATGAACAGATTCGTCATAAATCTTGGGATCATTTTTCTTAAGACATGACAATGTTTTAAAAAAACTTTTTTCAACATCTTCGGTCAATTCCTAAACAAATAAATATTTAATACATAGGTATCATTTTTATTAGACCTACATTAATACAAATATAAATTTAAAATTAAATACCTTGGCTTCTTCATCTTCTTCTTCATCATCTGAACTTGTACTGTTTTGTGAATTTACTTCAAGTTTGCTCATTTTAACAAACTAAAACCTAACGTCTTTAATCAATGAAAATAAAATACTTATTCAAAACAAAAAATAGTTCTAGGTAAATAACTAAAAAAAAAACCAATTTTATATATCTTTTGATTTATTTCAGTTTCAAAATTTAAAACTACGAATTAATGTAAAAATTAAAAAGACACGAGATTCGTTATCTGTTTATTATCACACGTTGTTAACCTTAAAAATGTTTATACTTTATGATAATAAAATACACGTTCAAATAATATAACAATAACAAATTTTATTCGATCCTACCTACATACTACATAGTGTTTATATATTTAATTTTGGTAAATAGTGATGTTTTTAAATCGACGTGAGTATTCCAGGAAAGAAAATTACATTCTAATGTATTGTTAAATGTTAAACAGTGTAGTGTTAATTTACTTGTCACATTTTCTATTGTAGACAGTAATAGTAAAAAACTAAAGATAGTTATTGTGAACGAAAAGCATTATTATTTTATTATGAAAATATGAAGAACGACTGTCCAAAACGAACTAAAGTATCCAAAGGTCCGGTAGAAGTACCTGACTTAATACACAAGCCTTCAAAAGTTGTTGACAATATGAGTCAATCATTTGGTAATATTCCTGGTATACAGTCTACTAGTGCAAAATCAAAACCATCTGCAGAATCACCACCTGTAGCTATGCAATTAGAAAAAGAAGGAGATATAGAAAAAAAAGAGAAAGAAACTTTATTCAATTTCATTTCAGAATGTGTTACCAGACATGAGGAAAAGAAAAAATTAAGACAAAGTAATCAAGAATGTGTTTTCCCCGATGAATCTGAAATATCTAAACGAGACTCTAGTTTAAAAAAAAATACAGCATTCATCAGAAAACTTAAAAACTTTCCTCCTCCTCAACTTGATCAGTTAATCAAGGACATGAATTCTTTAAATTTGACTAAATATCTATCAGAAGTTGTGTCAGCTCTTACCGAAATCAAACTGAAAATGACTGAAATTGATGCCATGATAATATTATGCACCCAATTGAATACAACTTATTCAGACTTTTCCAAAATTTTTTTTGAACAATGGCAAAAAATATTAAATATTAAAAAAGATGATAAAATTAGTAACATGAGCAAATTCAGAGTTGATCTCAGACTTTTTTCTGAGCTTACTTCTGCTGGCATTGTGCCTCAAAAAGAAGGTCTTGTCTTGCTTGGCAATATATTAACTATATTGATTAATTCTGATCTTCAGGATCATAACAATTTAAATATTATACTTAGTTTTTGTAAATATTGTGGTGATGATTATGCTGGATTAATTCCTAAAGAAATGCAAGATTTAGCAGAAAAATATGATGTTGAAATAATAAAAAGTGATATGCTTTCTAATGACAAACAAAAAAATGTAAGAGCATTATTAAAAGAGTATTATGTGTCTCTATGTAATCATGTTAAACGAATGTATAATGATTTAGAATATGCAGAAAAACAAAATGAAAAGATTTTACAAACTAAGGGTGAACTTAGACCGGAACGTAAAGCAAAAAATGAACAAATGAATGTTATGTATCAAAAACTTTATAGTTCTGCAATGACATTTGCAGATATACTCAATGAACCAGTAATTATATTGAAAGAAGAAAAAAAAACTAGTTCAACTGAAGATTTGACGGATTCAGAATTAGATATTATTACAACACCAGCACCATCAGAATTAACTAGCCTTTGGGAAGACGAAGAGACTCAAAAGTTTTATGAAGAATTTCCAAATCTTAGTAATTATATACCTGATAAAAACAAAAAGATTGATGAACCTGAGGAAACTGAAGGCGAATGTAACACAAAGAAAAGTTTGTCAGATATTAAAGACGCTGTGGAAGTCGAAGTATCCAATATTGGCACCAAAGTCGTATTTGAAACATTTACAGAACAATTGCCAAAATGTGTTAACCGAGAAATGATTGACAGTTTAGCGATTGAATTTTTAATATATCTTAATACTAAAAATAATCGAAAAAAACTAGTTAAAGTTTTATTTAGTGTACCGAGAACAAGAGTAGATCTCTTACCATTTTATACACGTTTTGTAGCCATTTTAAATCCTATAATGCCAGAAGTCGCTCTTGAACTATGTTCTTTATTAAAAAGTGATTTTAGATACAATGTAAAGAAGAAAGATCAGATAAACATTGAAACTAAACTTAAAGTTGTACGTTTTATAGGAGAAATGGTCAAGTTTAATTTAATGGCTAAATCTGAAGCATTGCATTGTTTTAAAATGTTACTCAATGATTTCACTCATCATCACATTGAAATGGGTTGTGCATTGTTAGAAACGGCTGGAAGATTTTTATATCGTTCTCCAGAAAGTCATCATCGTGCTAAGATATATTTAGAACAAATGATGAGAGTCAAATCTATTTCAGCTCTGCGACCCGTATATGTTACAATGATAGAAAATGCTTATTATTTTGTTAATCCTACTGATTCGCCAGCTATTATGAAAAAACAAAGACCTATTTTACATGAGTTTATTAGACATTTACTATATAATGAATTAAAAGATGCGCCTGAAAAAGAGAGCATGATTTTAAGTCTTCTAAAACAAATGGATTGGGAAAATGTAGCAGAGAAAACTTATTTAATAAAGTGTTTAACAGAAGCTTGGAATGTTACTTATCCAATGATTTCAGATTTAGCATGTTTAGTGGCAGCTTTTGTAGATTATGACGATTCTGTTGGAACACGCGTTGTAGATGGTGTTATGGAAGATATACGAGTAGGTTTAGAAACAAATTTGGTGAAATTTAATCAAAGAAGAATAGCTATGATCAAATATTTTGGTGAACTATATAATTATAGACTAATAGAAAGCAATGATGTTTTTAAAGTGTTATATAGTCTTGTATCATTTGGTGTTGTTTACGACCCAGATTTTTATTCAACATTTGATCCTCCTGAAAATTTATTTCGACTGAGGCTTATATGCACTTTACTCGATACTTGTGGAGAATTTTTTAATCGAGGACCTGGTAAACTAAAATTGGATTGCTTTATTTTATACTTTCAATATTATTTTTGGTTAAAAAAGTCTAGTACCACCTGGGATGATGAAAATCCATTTCCTGTTACAATGGATTATTTAGTTACAGACATATTAAAAAAACTTAGGCCTAATTTTAAGATGAAAAACTGTTTTCTTGAAGCTCAAAAGATAGTAATTCTACTTCAAGAGAGATTAATTCAACAATATAATCTTAAAGAAAGTGAAGAATCTCAATTAGCCACTATTGATGAAGAAACAGGCGAGGGAAAAAATTTAAATGAGGAAGACTCTGATATTGATTCCACCGATGATGAAGAAAGTGATGCTACAGTTTGTAGTGATAAAACTCCTGATGAGCCTGTCCGCCGTAAAATTGAGGATCCTGAAGACTTTGAGTTTTTGGAATCCTTTGATAAAATGGTTAGTGATAATATACAAGAAAGGACAAAAGAAGCAACACGTCCACAAACAGAAATATCAATACCGTTTCATTTGAAGAAATACAGTAAAAAGACCTATGTGCAATTACAGAGTTCACAGGAAGATAATTCTGTGAATTTTATATTAATGTTGAAAAAGGGTAACAAGCAAACATTCAAGAACTTGCAAGTGCCAATGGATTCTGAATTAGCATCAAATCTGAAGAATCAAGAAATGGCCGAACAAGCAGAATTAAGAAGGGTAAAACAATTGACTTTAGATATCAATAATAGACAAGAAGAAGAAGATTATAAAGATTTAGCTCAAGTTATGCAAAAACCTGTTACAACTACCATCAAAGACAAAAAGCCATTACCAATTAAAGGAACGCCCGATGCTGAGTCAATATTTGGAAAAAAAAAAAGGTTTTTATTCAAATATATTATTTATCAGCTAATACTCTAATTTTTTGATTACCTACAATATAGTAGGGTGGTCGTTAACCTATAGGTATTGAAAATAAATGACAAATATTTGAATCGTGGGCTCGGGATTCTGTTAGGTACAATAATTTTTGTAAATTTTGTATATGATTAATCAGTCAACCCCTTCACGTGCCTCAAAGAGGCTGAAGTTAGTAAAAAAGAGATAGTTTTTAGGTTAATTTTGGACACACAAAAAATTTATCAAAAACTATTATAGTAAAAAATATTTTCCACTTAATAGCTCTCTTTAAAATTTCAGTGAAACTTCTATTATCTGTTTAAATCAATGTAAAATTGGTAGATTTGAAATTTTACATAATCTTGAATTTTTTATTACAAATCTACCAACTTTTAAATTGATTTTTGATTTTAAATTATAATTTCAATTATGAATTTTTGAAAAATCTTTATCAAAACAGACATTTCATAGAGTATTATGGTTTTGAAAGAAAATCTAATATAATTAACAATATATTTCAAAAATTATTTTTCCAAATATTGAATGATTATTTGATTCCATGAAATTCTATGCATTGATATAATAAAATCTAACAGCATTTTGCAATACTAACTTAGAAAATTAAATTTAACTTGTTCAAAAAATTAAATTATTTTAGAATTTTTTAGTTTTCAATCTAGCTCATCATTTTTATTTTTTTATGTATTACAAAACTGTATTTGAAAAAAAATTAATTCACATTTGCCTTAAATACTGCTGATTGGGTTAGCTAAAAATTAATAAGTATTATTTTTGGAATCTGTGATCTTCATTTTAAAACTATGTATAATTTATATTCATAATAGGCTTATATATATATAACTTTATATTAATAGATTTTTTGATTACATTTATTAATTCTTTGTTTTTTGATTATTATTTTAAGTGACAAATGGGTATAATTATGTGCACCTACACTCACCGTATGTGGTATAAACACAATGCAAAAGACTCAAACTGTTTGTGATATTATATTTAAGGTAAGTTTGCTATAAAAACTTGAAAAAAGAATATAATAATCAAATTATTATTTGCTTAGATAAATTGGTATTATTTTTCAGTTATTCAACAAAGTATGAGTGAAGAAAAAAATATATATTTTTTTGTTATTCCATTTAAAAATAATAATTAACACTGAAAATATTTGATGCAAATGACAAATCAGTTTTATTATTTTCAAGAGAATTTATATGCCAAGTTAATGAGCCTATAATTGACAAGAATGTATTTTTAATTTTAATATAATAATATTGTGTCCCTTATATATAAATATAAATTTATAAATATGTTTAATAATATTGCTAATATTGTCGATAAACTACCTTTTTTTGCATGGCCAATAACTGACTGAACATTTTTTTTTTTTTTATATATTAATTTATGCCTAATTATAGTTCTTTATTGTAGGTATAATATTATTTTTAAATTAAGTTGTTTAGTAAAATAATGTATAGTTAGTTCATATTGTATATTAATTAATACTTGTAAATAAGAATATATTGTAAATGCCTAATATTGTTAATAAACTAATAATTATAATTTATTGGCCATCTAATGATACATTAGATACATATCTAATTTATAATATAAATAACATGTATAATGGTACAATTCACCAGTGATGATAACTTCTTATTGGTTATTATTTATTAATAAAGAGTACTAATAAAAAATGTCTAGTTTTGTATAAATATCCATAGATATATGTAGATACATAGATAGATGTGAGTACCTACTAAGCCTGGGCCTAAATCAAAACTGAAATTAATGTTTTTTTCTAAATAAGACAAGTTTGTTTTAAATGATCCTTTTAAAAATATTTTTAAGGTAATTAGTCTAGGTCAGCTAGGTATTTGCTGAATGTCTCCACACCTATGCATTGGTGATATCACAGAATAGATTTAATGTAATCTATTTTATGGTGACACTATCGCACAACTAAATAAATTTGGTATATTGTAATCCCATTTATTATACTAGTATACGAATATGATTCAAATTATTAGATAGTGTTTCTTTAATTTATTTTACTACGTTGATATATCATCTTTTCCAGGTGCTAAATCACCTCCCAAAACAATCACATACTTCGGACCTCTTTAATTTTTCTTAAACAAAGATTGGTTGACATGCGCATTTGCAAAAATCTAATTTTTTGATCTTAGCTTTTATTATTATTGCCCATCATTGAAAAATATTTGTTTTATGCATTAGCTATTTAATTGTAGCTCATAATTAGATTTATGAATTTTGTTACTTATAATCTAAGTAATAATTTTGTGGATGCAACTTTTAATACCTTCCATATTTTTTGTGGGCTGATACAATATTTTGTTTCTGTTAATTTATTTCTATAAGTTTTATAAATTAATTTATTAAAAGATTTTTGAAAGGTTGACACCTAGTTAGAATATGTTATTTGTCCCTTTTTATTGTTTGAGCTGATAACACCAGATAATACTGTAGAGTGTAGATTATATTTGCCTACCCATAGTACGTACATTTATTTAAGTGGTTTTATATTGTTGTCAGTACAATTAAAAATATAGGTACCTTTAATATATCTTTTATTGCGGTTGTAAGTTATGCTAATTTATTGTTTCATTAAAACAACTAAATTAGCTGTTTAATTGTTATTTAATTTCAATTGCTTTTAGTTATTGCTATCCTTAATTCATTTAAGTCTATATATTTACATGGATAATTATTGGTATTTCTAATTTGTTTTCCAAAAGTGCTTTAATTATAGAAATCGTGGATTATGATCAGTAATTAGGGAGTTATAGCAGCTACATTAATAATAAAATCTATAATGAATATATTATATTATGATGGATACAACTATCGGACTATCTGAGATATCTTCAGGTGTCCTTCAAGGAGGTTACCTTAGTCCTCTTTTATTTATTCTATTTGTTAATTCTGTTATCAAATAGACCATAAAGACTAAACTTCTCTTTGCAGATGACATAAAAATTGTCCTCAAAATCAATATCGTGAATTACAATCTGAACTCAATATTTTTGCAAATTGGGCGCATGATATTAGTCTTAGCCTTAATAGAAATAAATGTCATATAGAATTTTTCTAGACAGCAATCTCTTATTCACCACAACTATTCTTTTAATGGCACCACTCTTGACCATATTTGTTTCCATAAAGATCTTGATAAACGTTATACTCAATCTTTAAACTTTAAACATCACATGAATGTAACCGTAGGTAAAGCATTAAAAGTCTTTGGATTTATTAAGTGCAACACCACTAATTTTTCTTCTGGTTATTGTCTCTGGACATTTTATTTCACGTTAGTACATTCAATATTAGAATATGGAGTGGTAATATGGCATCCTTACTTATTTAGAGATGAATTAAGACTTGAGCATGTCCAAAATAGGTTGCTTTCCTACGCAACCCATTTTCTCAAAATATATACCCATTACATGACTACTTCTTAATTCGCAATATATTGGAAATTCCACTACTTTCATCCTGCCAAAAAGACATTGGGGTGCAATTTATTTCTTCACTATTATGAGGCACCACAGATGCTCCTGATCTATCAAATGTAAGTTTTCGTATCCCTTTCATTTTCTCCAAACATCACTCCCTCTTCCTAGTACCAGACTAAAGTACATCCTTTGGTAATAACCACCCCTTACATAGAATACTTTGTAATTTAAATAGCTTTAATTTTGATTTCAACCATAGGTAATTAAATGTAAGACTACTAATTGAAATGTTTTTATATTTAATTTAATTTAATTTTTATTTAATATTAATTTTTTTTTTGTAGGGTGGAAGTATATCACCATCTAATTTGTATTTTGTTGTCTCTGCATTATTTTCATTGTTACTGTGTATTATTAGTATTATATAACAAATAACTGTTACTTGTAAACTAAACCCTAAATGTAATCATAAAATTGATGACTGGCGTTTATAAATAAATAAATAAACATACACACAGACAACTGATTAATGTGTCATAGAATGCAACATCATATTATACCTATATAATACATATTAAAAAGTAGTTTCAAAATACGTAGGTATCTCCAACAAAGAGATAAAGTTATAAAAGTAAAATAGTAATTCAGGTTACTACTATAGTGTGTTACACTAAAATCGCTAATTTATTCTCTATAACAAATTAATCGCTCTCAATAACGAAATAATATTTTATATTTAATACTTTAATAATAATGAGTAAATAAATAACTGATGAATAATCCGAAAATCAGTTACAATGGATGATAAAGAACAATCTGACAATTTCATATCACCAAGTATTCAATAAGCACTTGATACAGCTAAACTATTAGTAAAATATTTATTGTTGCACGAAGACGATCTCAACCTATTCCAGGTTATGAACAAAATTCATAAAAAAAAATACATAAAAAGTATTAGCAAAGCAAACAAAGATAATAGACTATTTTAAATAATTATATATGTAAGATAAAATATTATAATGATAATAGTAATAAAATATTTAATGTATAAATAGTAGTACGCATCAAGGATAAATAAAATTTAGTTCTTTTATAATAATATAATATTATTAAAGAAATAAATCGTTAAGTAGTAAGTATACAGTATTTTAATTTTGTATTCAAGTGATGAATTCTAGTTTAAAAAACAAAATTAAGTAAAATATAAGAAATAAAAAAATATATTAATTAATGTACTTATCTAAAAATTAAGAATAAAGTAGCCATGTTGAATTTCTGTAAAGTATAATTATTATTTATGGGATTATGGCTACTCATAGCATTTGGCCACACTACACTTAAATGTGGAATGTGAAGTTACATTAATAAGCAATTATTTTTAAAACCTAGTGGCTAATAATACTAATATTATAGTTCTAAGTTTAAAGTTTTATTAATCCTAAAAAAAACTGATAATTTATAAAGAAATTAAATTAATATCAACACACCCTGCATTACACGCGCACCTATAAATGACCGGGTTGTTTCATTTGTATAAGTAAAAATGAACTAGAATAATGCAACTAAAACTTCTTATACTAAATATTTTTAAATTATGTTTTTTTGAGTTTGGTATTTTTAATAATTACAACAAAACACAAATAAAACGTTATCTTAAATATTAGCTCAGTCAAATAGATAATAATAATTTAATGTTTTTAAGTTGGAGGAATGGAAATTTTAAATTACTATAACTTTTGAGCTGTTTCAGACAAAAATTTAGTCTATGATGAGACGTAGACTCACGAGTAGTAAAGATTATTTGAAAATAGATATAATATTGTACACTGCTATCCATTCCTTCAACTTATAAACATTGCAGTCTACTTGGTAAGTCTAAAATGATTAAGTGTTTGAATAGTTTAACATAATAAGAAACTTAAAATATTATTAATGCTACTTATGAAAATAGAAAAATAATAAAAAAATATATAAGGTGCAGAAAAAAAAAAATATACTACTGTTTAAGTTATTTTTAATATTTTTTAGGTGTACTATAAGATACATACATTAGGTTTTTCTCCAATGGTGTTAGCATTACTATTTACCAGGATGTATTAAATTAAACGAAACAGCCAAGTGCCTACTCAATACCTAATTTCTCAATCCTATAGTAGCTTTTTAATATTTTTCAACTATCTGTATAACCCTATATTACACACGTCTAATTTGATGATTACATGATTACACATGCACAAACATTAAAACCATCTATTAATCATAATCTATTCAATTTTAATATTTACTAACTTATTGCATAGGTAATAAAAAGAAAATGGATATAAATATTATGATTATGAAAAAATATATAATAAGTTACAATTATTTTTTAGTGTTTAATATAGCTATACTAACAATTATTTTTAGTGAACACTATCTAATTGTTGTCGAAGTCGTCGTGCTATTAGCTTCGGATTAGTTTGATTTTGTTTTTTAAACTCTTTGCTTTGATGTGTTACTGCGCCGTGTTCAAGTTGAAAACTACATAAAGCATTCAGTGGTTTAAGCAATGCATTTTTGTATAATTCATCATTTTCTAATATTGTTAATGCTTCAGCAGCAGTTTCTAAAGTAGAAAGACATCCATCTGTTGGTTGAGTCCTAATAATATAATGACTTTCAAATTTATGTACCAATTTCACCTAAAATAAAAATCTATATATAATGATATATTAAGATTTTAAAAATGATATGTTTTAAGAAAATTGAATGCATAATATAAAATAAGGACATCTCATTTTTACCCAGAATAAAGTTCTAGGGCTACTGCCTTATAAATCTATTGAAGTAAAAATATGAGTTAAACATTATTACATTAGACATTTTTCAGATTTTTAAGTTGCATGACTTACAATAAATCACACAAAACATTATATTGTTTTTAGTAATATACATAATAAATTCTGAACTAATTTAATAGTTTATATATATACTAACATGAATCATTGACTGGAGCAATTTAGTATTATTGTAAATAGCTTTTGCTTGTGGCCAAGTACCGTCGAGAATAACTAGATTGGAAATTTGTGTTTCTTTTGGTAAATCATTTATATCTATTGCTTTTTGAGAAGGATACAATAATACAGAGTGTTTAGAAGATAGAATATCCCAAAGACCAACTTGCCTGGAAAAAACAAATATTATAAAAGTAATTTGTACGCTAGCACATTTTGTTTTTACCAACAAATATACAAAATAATTGTTAATTGTTTGTGTTGCTTAAGTGTTAAAAACTGATAGTTTAATGATAAAATATAATATATTTTAGTCCATGATAGCATTACAAAAATTAACCATGAATTCTTGATAATGCTAATTTTGAGAATAAATAAAATTTTATTTATCAGGTTTTCAAATTCATAAAGTATACATTGGATCAATTAATAGAAAATAATTTTATTTACTTAATTTTTTTTATCAATTGCAGCACACATGTAAAATATAAATATTATATAATTTTTTACATAATCAATAATAAATAGGATTAGAGGCTTCTAGCAGTTGCATATTGTTTTTAAAAGATAATAAAAATAGCAGAATCAAACAAAAATATTGTTCATCATGTAAATAATCTAAATTCAAAATATTATTGTTATATACTTGCATATTTTAGTTTTTAATTTTTAGAGCCTATTTTTAAGGTATTTAAATACCTTTTAAGTGATATAAAAGGGCATACACCAGAGGCCACATACAGTACGCGGACAAGTAGGGAAAAAACGAAAAATATAATATTGGAATTGTAATTTCTTATTTTTGAGCAAGATTTATTATTTATTCCACTAAACATTTTATATTTTTTATTATATTTAGGTATGTTTATTATGTTAATTTTACATTGTCTCAAATATTTTTAACATTAACTATGTTCCTAATGTTTATAAGCAATAGCAAATAATAAATAAATAACAATAAAAAATATATTCTCATTATTTCCAATTTTATAATAATACATATGTCCTCTTATATGTTAAAAATATGTACTTAGAATTTTGATGACTCGAAAAAATTCCAGATTCCTAATGTGGCCCATCAAAAATATTAATTGGTGATCTCTGACATACACCCATATTTTATTATGCCGGGTATTATACACGCTTTATTTAATTTACATTGTTCAAATTAATACACACTGATGTGCGATAGCATAAATGAGTAGACTATAGTAATTTAGTCAATTTAGTTAACAAATAACTCAAAAAATTAATTTCAAAACACAAGGTAAAAATAAATACCATAAATAATGAAAAATTATAATAATAATGAAGTTTTAATACACAATTTTAATGAACATCATTTGTTTAGGGCATAATATTTTAGTTCATATCTGGTTGTTTAATAAAGCATATTTGTATGTTTTTTTAAAATTAGAAGTCTCTAAGCTTAATAATAAGTCATTATATTAATTATTTACGTATTATTATATATTAATATACAAGAATATATTCCTCTACAAATTAATAATTATAAGTCAATAATTTTAAGAAGTTGAATAGATTAGCACTTAAACTATTATATTAGCAGCTTTATTAATTTATCTTAAAATATAAGAAATCACCAATGAGTGTTATTGAACATATAAATGATAGATATTTACTTTCTTGTAGGAAACTTTTTTCCTTTATAAACAGCACAACTTTCTTCTGCTAGTCCTAATGTCAATATTGGAGCAGTACGAAGATTTCTTTTTTCTTCGGCTGGATGTTGCAGTAGGATTATTTTACATTTCGGCTTAAGCCTTGTTTCAGGCAAATAATTACACCAGCACACATTACTTGGTCGTCTGAAATGAAAATATTTCTGTATAATTGGATAAATAATAATTAACAATTAAATGGATTTTGATATTTTAATTAAAATAAAATAATTACTTTTTTAATAAAATAAACTAAATAGTTTTTAAGTTATAATTATTATAATACTTGTTATTTGTATTATTTAAAAGTTAAAAATAATAATTAAAACAAGTAATACCAATATCCCTTTATGTTAAAATATAGATTCATAAGTTGGATATAATACTCACTCGCATGAAATACATATTTGGCGCATTTCAGGAGGGTCTGCGGGTAAATTTACAAGATCACCCCAGGCATTATCAACTTCTTCATTAGACATAATATTATATTCGTAATTCTCAATCCTATATTTATTTACATCAATTAGATAACTGAAATTATTTACAATATATTTAATAGTATTATATTAACGCATACTATAAATTACCTAAATTTTTGTATCTTACCAAAATTAAAATGTATTTTTCAATAATATTAATAAAAATATACTACAAACGCCACTGTCATACAAAATATTGTTTCCTAAAATAAAAATTATGATTTAACAATATTTTTTAATCTTTTTCATCTTTATATCTTTTAACTAAATGAATACATAATATTTTAATATGCTTACATTTAAAAACTGATCAAAGGCAAGTGAGTCAGTGTCAGCATCCCAAACACAACGGCTTCCAATTTTTATACCAGCACCGCGTCGTTCACCTAAAATTACTTGTACCATCAATTTGTACCGATTCTCTATACATTCACCTAAAAATAACAAAAGTATTTTTCAAAATAACATACAAAAATAGCAAAATCCATAATAAATAATATTAAAGCTAGGTAGTAAGTACCTACTACCTATTTATTCATTTATTTACTTTGTTTATTGGGGGCAAACCATTGGATGCAAGAGACATAAATATTTCTAAATACCCCTATAAATACAAACTTTCTTAAAAGAACTGTAATTATCTAATCTGTGTGTCTCTATACATTTTATATTTTATTTTTGTTCATCATTTGACTTCATTTTCATTGAAGAAACTATTCCTGAACAATGGGAAAAATTAAATGACAACAAAAGTACACCTATAAACAGAAAAAGAAAGCTTGAAGACAAAGATTCCAAAGTGGACAAAGCTATGTACAGATGGTTCTCTACTGTTATTGAGTGTGGTATTAGAATTTCAGACCCCATGTTACAGTAGAAAGCTGAATTATTTACTCAAAAATTATTCGGTTTATTAATTAATTTATAATAAATATGAATAATAAATCAATCAATTAAATAATTAATACAACTACTAATGTTAAATAATACTACTCATAATATTTTGTAAAAACAATTTGTATGTATGTATGTATATACACTATAATAGCTTTTTCATTCCCCCCCCCCGTTAATTTGACTAATCGAGACAGTCAGATAATGGAAACAAATAGGTTACCGCCCAATGTTTCCCCATTAAGCGAATTCTACTGCACAGGTATTTAGATATTTTGGTATTTTTTAATCCAAAATAATGCTGATGATTTAAAATTTAAAACTGAAGTTCTTTTAATTATGAAAATTAATTAAAATGATAAAATTGAGTTTATTAAAAGAAACTGTTTAATAATTTAAAAAACAAATCCATTTTGTTGGGATATAATTCATAGTAGTTTATTATTGTTTATTTTGTAAAATGCACATTTGTCCATTTTCATCAAGTCAATTATTAAGGTATCTAAATAATGCAACATAAAATTTTGAAACATTTTTTTATTTTTTGAAAATAAATTCAGTTTTTATTTATTTGAAAAATTTTGAACAACCTGAAAATCGGGGTTTTTAATAATAATGAATATAAATATCTAATTAGACATATTATTAATATATCAATTAAACCTTTAAGCTTATCCTTGACTTCAGTTGCAATAGTTTTGGTAAGTGTTTCACATTGAATTTGACAAAATTCTTTATCTTTCAGGTATTTATGAAGAGTTTCTTGAATAACTTCTTTGGCCAAATTTGTTTTAAATCTAAAATAATAAAATGCATAAATAAAATAGTAATAATTTTGGCCGGCATTCAATACAAGATTCAATATGCTACCTAATACTATTTCGATAACTTTCAGAAATATATGCTGATTTAGATATTGTAGATTGTGTATTCAAACTTATTTCATCTATTTAAAAATAATTTACATTAATAAAAAAGGAAGTTTATCAGTTTATCTGACTAACTGAGGGTGATGTACATATATTTCAATATAGAAGCAGGTTTCAAGGTCCATGGGCATATTGAAATCCAAAATTCAACCCCTAAAAGGTGGCTAATAAACAAATAACCATTTATTGAAAGGCTTTTTTTTTAACAATTCTGATTATAAACAGTCTAAATAAAGGGGAACTGTAGGCAATATTTAACTGTTAGATAGTATTGGAACTACTACATAACATTAGTGGTTAGTAAAATAATATTAAATAATAACCATAAATGTACATTTTTTTTTTTTTTTATAAATATTACTATATTTTAGAAAATATTACAATCTATACAAGTGTACAATAAGTAATAATTATGGTAGGAATGAAAAACTTAAAATGAATAATAACATGGTAGGAAATCTCATGTTAGAGACACCTAGAGGATTTAAATTTGCAATAACATTAACATATACAATTTATAATTTATACAGTTTTAAGTCACAGTATTTAGTGGCTTTAAGTTATATTTACATTGACAATTAAATTTACAGTTTATTCAGTTTATTTACAAAGTTATAATCAAATAAGTAAAACTTAACATTTTTATGATTTTTATTTGAAACCCCTATCTATAGAAAAAATGTTTGCTATCAATAAAAAAAGTCATTGTAATATTTTGGATAACAATTCAAATTATATGTTTGCTATCAATAAAAAAAGTCATTGTAATATTTTGGATAACAATTCAAATTATTATTGGATAACAATTCAAATTAT